TAGTTATTTTTTTTTCCAAACAAGATTCAGTAATTCTTACAGTTTTATTAATATGAATTAATATGTTTCAAACTTCAGTATAGTTATTGAGTGATGACAAGTAGCAATAAACAGCTTTTGCTTTTGTACCGTCTTTGGTATCAAATAGTACTGAAATATCTTAAATATATTTTTTCCCTTATTTCTGTTTTACAGAGAGATTTTTTTCAACACATTTCTAATCATAATAGTTTTAATAACTCATTTCTAATAACTGATTTATTTTATCTTTGCCGTGAAGACAGGAATTAATATTTGACTAGATATTTTTCAAGACACTTCTATACAGTTTAAGTGACATTTAAAGGCTTAACTAGGTTAATTAGATTAACTAGCCGAGAGAGGGAAATTAAGCAAGCTATTCTATACCGATAGCCAGTTCTGTAGATTTTCAAGAAAAAAATATAGTTTAAAGAGGCTAATAATTTTGTCTCTAAAATGATGTTTAAAAAATTAAAAGCTGCTTTTATTCTAGCCAGAATAAAACAAATAAGATTTTCTCCAGAAGAAAAAATATTATCAGACATACTGTGAAAATTTCCTTGCTCTGTAAAACATCAGCTGGAAAATATTTTAAAAATAAGAAAATAAATTTGAAGGGAGCTAATAATTCTGACTTCGACTGTATGTATGTACGAAAAAAAAAAAAAAAAAAAAGATATATATATATATATATATATATATATATATATATATATATATATATATATTAAGGATGTAACGGTATTGTAAATACCGTCATACCGCAATATTAATTTTTTGCGATATTACCGAAGTCGCATGACTCGGTAAAACTATAGGTCTTCTGAGAAAATTTGCTCAGGCGAATGAAGCGAACGGGAGGTAGCGAAAACTACAATTCCCATCTGCCCATGCTTGACCATCATCCCTTGCGGTCTGTTGTCGCTACAGATCCAGTAATGCGGAAATGGAGTGTGCTGCTAGAAGCGGGGATGAAAAAGAGCTGTAAAACTCTAAAGCGGGTGTTGTCGCCGCGCGCGTACTGAATTGCGGTGTTGTTGCGCGAGTTCTTATCAGCTGTGTTGTCGCGCGAGTTCTTATCAGCTGTGTTGTCGCGCGAGTTCTTATCAGCTGTGTTGTCGCGTCATATCTCTCTTGTCCCAGAAACCTCAGTCCCAAATGAGAGGGTTTTTTTTCTGTTGCAGGGGACATTGTAAATACCCAGAGATACCAGCTTTTACCAGATTATATTTATATGATAATTTTCCTTTAAACCCATCTCTATCTAAGTGAGTGAGTGATTAAATGTTGAATGTGATGAGTTTTCAACAATACTAAATTGAAACTTAATTTTTTTACATGGTTTAATTTTTTTTTTGTTATTAAAATTGAAGTTCCTGTTTCAAAGCTTACAGATAGATGACTAATTTGTATGTCATTGACACTTTTGGCACTTTTTTGGAGTATTTTCATAAGTTTTGTTTTTTCCTGTAAATGATTCAATAAATACCGTACCGTGACATTCATACCGAGGTATTACCGTACCGTGAAATTCTGATACCGTTACATCCCTAAAAAATATATATATATATATATAAACACACACACACACACACACACACACACACACACACACACACACACACACACACACACACACACACACACACCTTAATCTTATTAAACTTCAAAGCCACAAATAAAAAAAAAAAAAAAACTCAGCTTGTAATAAAACTGGGCAAGGATTAGATAATAAGAATTGTAAACTTGTTGTATATTTAAAATTTTGATTCCTCCATTTTGTGCATACAAATTTTTTTTTTACTCGGTACATTTGTTTAGAGATGGACCGCAAGATGTGCTCAAAAGATTGGCTACATGTGGTGAAGAACGATGGCAAAACTAAGTGTGATTATCATAATAAACTAATAAGTTATAAAGCAGAGTGTCGCGACCGATATGACAAAGCGTCTGCGGTTGGATCACATAGTTCATTGTGCATCCCGCGGGCGCAACCAGCAAGAGTTGTGCATTTTAGTACAACTTTTCAAGCGTGATGAGCAGCTCGGAGTTAGTTTTATTTAATTATCTTGAGATGTAACTAAACAGTGCATTCTCTCCGCCTCTTCATTTACAAACAGCGGGACTCGCTGCTGAAGCATGCATGAGAGATGGCTTTACACTCCATCATTCATAATCTTAGCTGTTGTATTGGAATCAAAAGAATATATAAATTAGAATTTTCTTTTAACAGTCCTGATATGTTTAATCTTTTTCTTTTGCAAAATTCCTGTCATCATATCTGCTTGATTGTTTTAAAACCGAAAGCAGCACCCCTCAATTGGTGTTTTTCCATAAGGTACATCTTTGTGAATGTTTTATTTCCTGTGTGTAGTCTTTAATGTGCTTTTTTAATCATTTTATTCTTTTCAAAGCAGCACTCAGACACAAATTTATCCTTGAAAACTTGGCATGAAAGGGATGCATGTGCGATCAATTCCTCAACCTTTGCATAAAGCTTTAAGTCATAAGACTGACAATTTATTTACTTTCGATGTGCTAAAATATTTGTTTAAGAAAGGATATTTTGTCATAAAAATATTATATACATATTAAAACTGTAAAACAGAATAAAGTGCATGGTCTAATCAGAAATAATTCCTTATTTAATGCATAAAATAATTTTAAATTTAAGTTTAATTGATCTGAAACTTTTAATTACATTTTCTTTTCTTGTAAATAATAAAAGTTGCGTCAAAATGATGAAAACGAACCTCAATTCCTCGGTGAACAGGGCCACAGTGGGCTTTTTTTTTTACTTTGAAACAATATGATACAGTTTCTTCTGTCTATGACTGGCAAAAGCGTCAGAAAAAAAACTGCTGAATCTCCGCGAATATTCAGTTAACTAATTAAACAGTTTAGTGATTTAGTAATGCATAGAAAAATCCAAAGCAGAATTCTCCTGAGCTCAATAACCCACTGATGACAGCCACTTTATGATGGATTTTAAGGTGGGTAATGAGGTTTGTTGTGTTACCTTGGGAGATTTGGACTGAACAGGAGCAAAGGCTGCCTGATCAACATTGCATTCCTCGGAAAAAAAAACAAACACTTGCAATCTAGACGCTGTCACCTCATGTCGTACAATCCGTAAACTCCGCCTATTAAAACAACAGCTTGATCTTTATACTCTAAAATGGGGACGATATATAATTATTGATCGTAGGCCACAAATATCGTTAACGTGATAATAATACGATTAATCGTGCAGCCCTAGTCCAGGTGATCCCATCTGTCACAACTGTGTGTGTGTACAATATATGTGTGCATGTGTATTGCTTTTGGTGGGTTGTAAGGACAGTTTTTTTGTATGATGACATGGGCATGACATAGTTATAGACTCTATGGTGGTTTGCAAGGACATGCCTGAAGTCCTTGTTATTCAAAACTCTTAAACATACTTAATGAGGTCTTAACACGTTTCCTGTGGGGTGGGTTTTAGGGGTAGAAGTGGCCATATATAAAGCTGTTTTCACTGCATAAAGTACATAACACCTATGAAGCATACCTGTCAACATTGGGATTTGAAAATAAAGGATGCTTATTTCACGCGGCCACCATAATAAGGGATTAGGGATTCCAATTCCCCACCCTACATACTAAACATACTAAATATGTTCATTTGGAGGTGTTTCATTGTAAATAAACAGTTAAATTGTCAGTAATATGTTTTAAAATTATTATAGACAAAATAAAAATGAATATATACATTAGCAGCAATAACATTAGCAAACAGTTCAGCTTATTAAAATTAATAGCTATTATAATGAAACAGAATCAAGCTACCAAACTCATTAGCCGTTTCTCCACTGTTTAACTTACACTATCAATTAAAGAGCAACGAATGAATCTCTCATTTAATACGATTTTTTTATTATATTAAAAGAGAGGTGTCACTTTAAAAATGCACACATCTAATGTTATAATAAAAGCATTCGACTGCTTTCCTTACTTTTTATGCTCATTTAAGACGAAATTAGTTGTGTTTGGAAAAGAAAAACCACCAAGATCGACATCCTTATATGTTATTAATCTTAATTATGTGTGTATGTCTGTTTAAACACGCACCCAAAAGCCAAACTTTCTCTCCGCTTCAAATCGCGTGTACAGAATCCATTTGGGAAACACTTGCATTACTTTGGAGCACGTCAGCAGACAGTCATGCACCATTAAGTTATATGACCGTTTTGAGGATTGTAAAGGATGGGCGAATGCACCTGTAATCAAAAGGAAATGGAATCGCGCTGTTTTTACTATTTAGTTATAAGTGTTTTCATTCTTAAACAAAGCGAAAGCACAGAAGACTTGCGTTTAGAGCAAGGGGCGACCCCTGGTGGTTCTGCGGTATGGATTGCGTATAGGGAGGCTCGGCTGTTCAGAGAAAGACTGAAAATACGGGAGAAATACGGGAAAATACCTTTATAGGATGATGGCGGGATAGAACAGTAAAATATGGGAGAATCCCCGGAAAAACAGGAGGGTTGACAGGTATGCTACGGAGTGTCCTTGTAAACCACCAATACCAACACATATATGTGATTTTTAGCTTGACTGCGCATTGTTTAACATCGCAGTTCTTATTCTGTGCCACAAACTCACCGCTCATCCTCTTTATCTGAGCCATTCTGATCAAAGGAAATGAGCGCCTTTGATGCCCATCGCATTTAATATTCTGCCTTTTTGAATATTTATATCTCTCTCTTTCGAAACCCTTACTGCAAAGGACAACTCGATAGAAAAGGTTACACTGAGTACATGTGGGTGAGTTTTGTTTGTACCTTTATGTGGCTGTAGGAGTGTGTGTGTGTTTTGTGTTTTTGGCAGTCACACACCTGTCCATCTAGAGTTTCAGTTCTCTGACTCATCGACAGGTCAACTTCCACATTTAACCTTGGCTTTTAAGGCTGCTGAACATGATGTGTTTGTGTTTCTTTCAGATGGAGGACCAAGCAGAACTTGGACTATTCTTTTCTTATGATGTATGCTGTCAACAAAGGGGTCTATTATGTCCAGGTAAATCAAATGAGTGAGTTTAAAGGTGAAGCTGGTGATCTGTGCACCACTAATGTTAATGAATGGAATTGAAAACTATAAACCTATAAAAACAAAAAGTGTTCAATAGTGGTTGGCTAATGAATTGATTGTAACTGTAATCCTACATGGTTGGTCCTTGCCAATCAACACCTACATCAGTTTCAGCTAATAGGGGTCATTTACATGACAATGTTTTCAGCCAAAAGCAGAACACTATGTGTTTTGCCTGGTTTGGGGACGGAAAACGTTTAAAAACTGTCTCAAAGTTGAAGTTTTTGAAAATGCCACCATTATCTAACAAGATGATGACAGTGTCAAATCACTCAGTTCCCATGACAGAGAGCTACAGCCCCGGAAATGTTAAGGTCTGGATACGAGAGAATGAAAACAACACTGGCAGATTCAGTTTAAGAATCCAGCTAGAGTTAAAACGGTAACACTTTATAATAACTACACATTATGAATCATTTACTAAGCATTAGCATCTAGTGAGTTCATTATCTGTAAGGCATTAGCTCCGCATAAATAAACGTTAGTAAGCAGTTTACAACTGCAGCTATAAATGCTGTATTCTTGACTTATTAGCACCAATATATTGTGCTTAATAATTGTACTTTCATACTTCGTTAATGATTTATATTTCATTACTAAATTAAGTATCGAATTATTTACAAACCAGTTGTATTTAAGAGTAGCTGATGGGTTTTAGGATCATTCAGAATGAGTTAGTAAATGATTAATAAACTATTGAAATCAACATTTATATATCTTATTAATCAGGCATATACTAATAGTTTACTAATATGTTAATAAATGCTTTATTAACTCAACTTCATGCAGTTTTGTGACCTAATCTAAAGTGAGGACTATTCATGCTTTATAAATCCCTTACAAATGACAAATAAAGGCTCAGAATCAAATGAACAACAATCCTTGTGATCTTATTTAAAAAGTAAAATGACTGTAAAGTTTAAACATTGCTGAATAACAGGAGTGTCAAATATGACATAAAACTGGATAAAACAACAACAATATAATAATGTAACAATATCATAAGATGCAATGTCGAAACTCTACAGTGATTTTTTTTTTAGATTAGGTTGCAAAGATTTATTTTTTATTTGGAGTACAGTTTCATGTGTGTATCTTTAAATGAATAGGAATGAATAACGTCATTTTTCCTGTTTAGAATTTAACTGAGCCTTTATTTGTTGTTTATAAGGGATTTATAAAGCATGAATAGTCCTCACTTTAGATTAGGTCACAAAACTAGGTGAAGTTGAGTTAATAACGCATTTATTAACGTACATTGTAACCATTAGTATATGCCTGATTAATAAGATAGATAAATGTTAATTTCAATAGTTTATTAATCATTTACTAACTCATTCTGAATGATCCTAAAACCCCTCAGCTACTCTTAAATACAAACAGTTTGTAAATAATGCGATACGTAATTTAGTAATGAAATATAAATCATTAACAAAGTATGAAAGTACAATTATTAAACACAATATATTGGTGCTTATAAGTCAAGAATACAGCATTTGTAGCTGCAGTTATAAACTGCTTACTAACGCTTATTAATGTAGAGTTAATGCTTAACAGATAATGAACTCACTAGATGCTGATGCTTAGTAAATGATTTATAGTATGTAGTTATTATAAAGAGTTACCGTTAAAACTAATGACACATCTGATTAGTGATCATGTGCTGAATGTCAATCCAGCATTTACACTTTTCGAAGAGTGGATAAAAGACTTCCAGGGGTTAAAGTCCGCCATGACTAAAGCACTCATCGTAAAGCCGTGTGAGTTTTCAGGTAACAGTGTTTGTCTCATCTACACATCTTAAGCACGAGATGTTCCAACGTTATTTAATCCTTCATTTAATCATCACGATGCTGTCAGTCGTGCGACTGATACCATGTTTACCATTGCGTGCATTCACTGAGATGAAAGTAATTCATTCATTCATTTTCTTTAATAATCTGGGGTCGCCACAGCGGATTGAACCGCCAACTTATCCAGCAAGTTTTTACGCAGCGGATGCCCTTCCAGCCACAACCCATCTCTGGGAAACATCAACACATACACACACTCGTACACTACGGACAATTTAGCCTACCCAATTCACCTGTACCGCATGTCTTTGGACTGTGGGGGAAACCGGAGCACCCGGAGGAAACCCACGCGAACGCAGGGAGAACATGCAAACTCCACACAGAAACTGCCAACTGAGCCGAGGATCGACCTAGCGACCTTCTTGCTGTGAGGCGAACGTGCTACCCATTGCGCCACTGTGTCGCCATGAAAGTAATATTGCAGCTCATGAAAAGACCATTACTGCTATTAAGATGACGCATGCAAATAATAAGTTATAATATCATCTGTGCAATTTCAGACAGCACCCGTGAGAACAGCACTGTTATTATTGTATATATATTGTATCTCATTCACGTCAAGCAGTGCGTGCAGCGCCGGTGAGCGCATGAGTTTTGTTTGTTAGTTGTGATTAGAGTGTTAATATATAATAGAATCTGTTCATATAGAAGATAACGGTAACGGTGCTCATCATTTTTGGTGGGTGCGACAAAATTTTGCCTGGTGTGCTTACATTTTTGAAGTTAGAAGCACCGGTGCTACCAAGAATAAAAGCGAGACCTTAATCGGTAGTGGAAATTTCGGGTTTCAAGAAAATGTTAAATGTAATAGAGCTCGGTTACAGTATTCCTTTATAAGCTCATTTCAGTCAGATAATTTCAGCTTTCAGATCCACTAAAATGGCAGGTGACAGTCAAATTAAGCAGATCGGGGCTGTCTGAAGAAAAGGTGAACACTCATCTTTCTGAAAATGAAAAAAAAAACTTAAAAATAGATTGAAATTCCATATAAAAACTTTTTTTTTTTAATGTTTTATTTGCTTAACTGCAATATTACATTTATTTTTTATAGGAAGCTTTTTGGTTTTGAGTATAAAGAAAGATTTGTTTTATTTGCTGCTAAGCAGAAACCCTGAAAGTATAGCTCTATAACTTTTTAAAGTAAAAGAAAAAAAAAAAAAACAAGATCGAACTTTTATTATGTTAGTAACGAACCGAACCGTGATTTTTGTGAACCGTTACACCCCTACCCGGCGCAATAAGGCACAAGACATGTATGGCAGATTTAGCGCAATAGTAATTTTCATGTTTTGTGCCACCGTGTTTAAGTGGCAAATCCATTTGCACTAATTTGTGGACTTATGGGTGTGCTGGTCTAGAAAGGAGGTGTGTTAAGGCACAGTGTTGGCACGTTGCCATTTTGAGAAACTGAAATAGACCCCAACATTGATCAAGTAAAAGCTGGTCTAATGTAAAATTAAAAAAGCTTGAATTTAACTTTTTTAGTGTTTAGTGTCTTACTTGTCAAATGTTGTCTTCACTTTCATGTCTTCTTCATTCTCATGTGCTTCTGTCTGTGTGTTGGACTTTACTGAATGTTTTCATTTTTTCTTTTGGTTTCCTCTGTGCTGTGCCAGTAATTCTCTCAAGTGTCTCCATGTCTTTGTGCTCTCAATACACGCTGTTGTTTCTTAGGAGAGGGGAAAGGTATTGCTTTCATGTGTTTTTTTTTTTTTTTTTTTTTTTTTTTTTGGAGTCATGTTACTCAATAGTAAACAACCACATGCTTTAGCTTAGTCTTTGTGTGTGCTTGTACACTACCTGACAAATCTTGATCCCGGTTGTAAGAGCAACAAATATTAACTTGACTACTAGTTGATCGTTTCGAAAAGTGGCAGAAGATAGATTTTGCATCCAAATCATAAAAGATACCACAGAAGACCTATTGGAATCTGCATTGGCCCAAGATTCTTAGAGAAATCAGTCAAGTTTGGTGAAGGAAAATTCATGGTTTGGTTACATTGAGTATGGGGGTGTGCGAGGGATCTGCAAAGTGGATGGCAACATCAACAACTTGAGGGGCCCTATCATACACTCGGCGCAATGTGGCACAAGGTGCGACGCAATTGTTGTTTGCTAGTTTCAGCTTGGCGCAGGAGTCGTTTTGACGTTTTAGACATTCTGGTCTAAAAAGGAAGGCGTGTTGAGGCCCATTGCTGGCACGTTGCCATTTTGAGAAACTATAATAGTCTGTTCTATAGACCAGAACAAAGTTGGTCTAAAGTCCAGCGCAGAGCACATTAGTAGTGTGCCACGCTTACACATTGCTTAATACACACAGGATGTACTGCAATAGGCAAATATCTTTACATATGAAAAATAATTAAAATGCTAAGGATATATATATATATATATATATATATATATATATATATATATATATATATATATATATAGGATATAATAAGGATTTTTATAGGATATAAATTTAAAGTATTAAAATATTACAAAACATATTATTTTCTAGCCTACATAAATATAAAAACCATACTTTCATGCCTTCATCTCGGGAGGCTTTTTCCGTGTATTCGTGCCATTTTGCTTTTGTATAATGTTATTATTATTTGCAGTATTATTTTTTGTTATTTGCATATTTATATTTGTTTTATTAAAAACAAACTTAGATTTGCCCACCTGTCAGGTTTTAGACCATATGGGGCACAGCATGTGTATTTGGATATAATTGAATATAAATGGATATAAATGAATATATTTTCAGAACACACTTGGTTATTATTGTTAATTTATTCGTTTGCTGGAAATTAGAACTGAATTTAGAAATAGTTTTGAAACAAATCTTTGCGCTTAACAAACTAAATGAATTATTTATAGGCTAATTGATGTCTGTGCGTACAAGGTTTCCCTATCCACGAGAGCAAAAGCGAAAGTAGATTATGAGAGGCCTTATCTCTCATTCTCACGCTGCAGATGCTCTGTTTAACTGTTTTCTTGCTAATGAAATGCTCAGTTTTTCCACTTAAAAAGTCTGCCTTGTAAACAGCAAACACACTATTGAGTGACACAACTGGCTCTTAAAGGGAATGGGAGATGAGACTCTGATTGGTTTATTCTCAAAACACACCTATAACTCATTAGGAAAATAAGCTCAACCCTTTTAGACCATGCGCCACAGCGCAAAGCGGATTTTTCCAACCTTGATGACTTTATTAATAAGTGATTTGAGTCATTGCAGAGATGTAAGGATGCAGTCACACACAATATTAAGTCTTTCTCCACTGCACCATGACTTTATATTCTCTACTGTATATTATTTCTGTTAAGTGACAAGACTTTTGTCTAAGCAAAGTCAGACCTTTTGTAATTGAGTAATCAAGGCATGATCGTATTTTATTTTAGTAAAATAAGCGTAATCTAGAGGGATTTGCCTTTCATATAAGCCACTTCTGATATCAAATGATCAACTTGAAGTCAAGTTATTATTTGGTGTTCCTAAAACTTGGATAGATGACGAGACTTTTGTCAGGTAGTGGATAACAGCGATAGCGTCTGTGTGTAAGGTGATCTTTACAGGTTCAGTTTTAGTTAGCAGTGGTATTTTAGTTTGTGAAGCTCGTGTCAGTAGGTGTATCTGGTTTATGAGCAGTTCTGTCTGATTCATTTTTGTTTTCTGTTGTTGTTGCAGTTAGAGGACGACATCGTTGCCAAGCCCAACTATTTTGCCACCATGAAAAACTTTGCTCTGCAACTTGCCACAGAGGACTGGATGATCCTCGAGTTTTCACAGCTGGGCTTCATCGGTACTATCTTAACTATCCCTTTCATGGGAATAAGTTACAATATTAAAATGCATTCAAAAAAAAAGTTGTCTTCCTTTACTTTCATAATCGCATTATTGTTGTTTTTACAACCTTTTTAATCATGTCAATGCAGCTTTGGTTAACATAAAAGAAAGAACATTTATTTGGTCATCTTAATTGATGTTGGTGTCGTTTTATCTTTCTTTCTTTCAGGTAAGATGTTCCAAGCCCCAGATCTAAATCTCATCGTGGAGTTTATCTTCATGTTTTATAAAGAGAAGCCCATCGATTGGCTGCTGGATCACATACTCTGGGTCAAAGTGTGCAACCCAGAGAAAGATGCCGTAAGTTAATACTCCCCGACCGCTTGCGTGACCTTCAGCTCTCCTCCGCTGTGGTGCATCAAGCAGAGAGACTTTTCACAGCTCTGAATGCAGCAGAAGAGGAACCTGTTTTTCTGATTTCTCCATTTTATCACACACACATCGTCATGCCTCTATATTCACTCTTAACTCTTATTTACCTCATTCACACTTGCTGTATGTGTGTTCCTCTTCAGAAACACTGTGAGAGACAGAAGTCGAGTCTGCGCATTCGTTTCAGGCCCTCTTTGTTTCAGCACGTAGGCCTGCACTCCTCTCTGGCTGGGAAAATACAGAAACTCACGGTAATTTATGTCATGACTCTTGTGTTTTTTTTTTTGTTTTTTTTTTTTAAGTTCTGTTTACAACCAAGATAAACATCCATCGTGGTGAGCTAACCAGGAAGTTAAAATCCTTGTTACGTGATTACTTCAGTTGATATCCAGGACACGTTGTTTACACAACATATAGGTTTGGTGTTTATTCCCCAAAACAGCCTTTGAAGCTAGCTAATTTTTATATTGCTGATCACCAAGGTTATTATAGGTAACGAAAATGAACAGAAAAAGAAAACTAGATTTGAAAAACATTTTCGTTAACTGAAACAAAAAATATAAACTAACTGAAACCTTATTGTGTACATTAATGATGCGCGGATGGCGGTTAAATCCGCGGGCGCTGCGGATAATCCGCGGGTTGGGTAGTAAAAAATACATTATGATTAATTGCGGGTCGGTTGCGGTTGGATGTAGCGGGTCATGGCAGTGGACCAGCCAATAAGCAGAGAGTGGGTTTTGCAGAATAGGAAGATGAGACGCCCAAAATAATGGAAGTGCAAGAGTATTGTTCAAACTTTCAGTTAGAGGAGTCATCAGAGGAAAATCTGCTATCGTTCTGCGAGAAACAAGATCGCTTTTTTTTCGGCAAATTCAACTGATTCTTTCGGAAAGATCTGAGAACCGATGAGCTGTTAATATTGCGCATGCGTCCTTTCGGTTTTGTTTTGTTTTTAAATGCTTAATATATAACAAACGGTTGTGTATTTAACAAAAACAAGTTATTTCAAAGTCATTTCACTCAAGTCCAAGTCAAATCTCAAGTCATGACAGTCAAGGGAAGTGACTGTTTCAGTTACTTCTGTATTTGCTTCATGAGGAAGAGTGGGAGGTTGTTGCTTGGTTCACTGTCACTATAAAAGATATTTTGAAGAATGTTGGAAATAAACTGACATAGTTAGAACAGCAAAAAATACTGTGAAAGTCAATGGCTGTTTCTTTCCAACATTCTTTGAAATATCTTCTTTTGCTTTTAACAGATGACTGAAATCAAACAGGTTTTCAACAAGAATTATTAATAATATCCTCCAAAACTAAATTATGAACCTTTTAAACTAGAATACCAGGTTTAAAAGTTTCTTAAAATCCCTCATTTTCTTTTACACAAACTTGCTTTGACTTCATGTTCCCCTCGATGTGTTCCATATCCTGTGTTTTTTAAACAAAGCTTCTGGTTTTCCTAAATAATCTGACCTTTTCCCTGAATCTCACTTGCTGTTTTTACTCTTAAGGGCTGTTATAAATCAGCTGCACTTCCTGTTGACTTCAGTCATAACTTCCTCTGTCTTCTGCTCCATCAGGATAAAGATTTCCTGAAGCCTCTGCTGCACAAGATTCATGTCAACCCGCCGGCGGAGGTATCCACGTCTCTTAAAGTGTACCAAGGCCATACGCTGGAAAAAACCTACATGGGCGAGGATTTCTTCTGGGCCATTACTCCAATGGCAGGAGACTATGTGCTGTTCAAGTTTGACCGGCCCGTCCACATTGACAGGTCAGTCTGTCTCAGAACATTTGCCTCTTATGCCGAGTTCAGACTGCATGATTTTCCAACTAGTCGTGTCACAGATGTTTTCACACTGCTTGACTATCTGGGCTAGCGTTTCGTCGCTGCTTTGTTTACACTGCAAGATGGTTCGGCGACAGGGACTTTCACATTGCATGACTTTACCATAGGGAGAATCGCCGACAACTTCGTCCAAACTATGTCTCACAGCCAAAAAAAATCTTTCTGTATGAAACGTCAAACAGACACGGTTGCTCCTGAGTCCAGTCAATCCTCCACTAGTTTTCCCTCTATTTCGTGGGTCCAAATAAACCGAAAAAGAGCGCTTTTAACTTCTCCCCCAGCCTCCCGCTGGCCTGCAGCAGGTATACACACACGCACACACAAGTGAATGCTGCTCTCTCATTGGCTGTAGGCGATGGCTGATGTTATTTTCAGTTAAAACTCAATTCACACGGCATGATTTGAATCAACGACAGCTCCAGATATTTAGCACGCCAAATATCTCACAGGCATCGGCGACTCATCGGCGATTCTCTCAGATCGCGTCTTTGATCGTTCATACTGTGTGATTGTCACTCAGGTGCACGAGCACCGATTTGCCTGTGATTTCAGGCATTTGTCGGCGATTTCTCAAAACCTGTCGGCGAGCTAAAATCGGGGCTAAAATCACGCAGTCTGAACTAGGCATTAAAGGGATAGTTCACCCAATAAATGAAAATTTATTTTTTTTAAATGATCATGATGTCATGTTTATATCATTCGATAGCAACAATTATTGAATATATTTAGTGATACATTTAGGAATATTAGGATTTTTTTTTTTTATTCAACCACTTTTAATTTACCAACATCAAATACTTAAATAGTCAAAAACAAAACAAAAAAACATTATTGTACAAATATTATACATACATTAAACATATTTTATTATTTATAATAAAATAAACATGTTAAAGAAACTCTTAAACTTGATAAATAAAATGTTACCAAGTGTGTGCAATGGTAAACCTCAAACTCTGTCAACACACACATTATGATAATCAAATCTGAGCTTTCAAGTAAAGGAACCAAACATCATTATTCAAATACACACTGCAACATTACGAACTGTGAAGTTGGATGACTACATTACCCCCTAGGGCTGTGCAATTAATCGAAAATCCGATTTCGATTTTGGCTTTTAACGATTATGAAAAACCATTAATCGAGATAAACGATTATTCCATCACGTACCGCCCTCTTTCCAGTTGTACACGTGTGAAAACTCTTTGAGAAAAGTGCCTCTGCAAAGCTTAGTTCCACGTGAAAATGACTAAAAGCATGTGCTGTAATGTAACTTTTGCAGCACGGGATGCACATCATCCACGCTTAGCCTCGGACAGGTAGCGTGTGTGTGTTTGCGCACGCGCCACACTTAGCCTTGGACAGCAGAGCGCACACACACATTTAACGCGATCTTAATGTGAGCGCTTTAATGGTGAAATACATGCACATTTGTGTCAGAGCGCGGTGTTTAGTGATTATTCATATTAACCCTCATTTGTGTAATAAACAAACAAGTTGAGAATCAAAAGACACGAGAAAGAGAAACCATATCAGAGCCGCACGATTCTTAAAGTGACAGCGTGCGGTATTCCTGCTGCTGCCGACTGTTTTTATTATTAATCAATAATAAAATCAAAAATACAGTGAAGATGCTTAAAGCACAGTTTAAACATAACAGATTTAATATCTCATTTCTAATAACTGATTTCTTTTATCTTTGCTACGATGACAGCACATTATATTTTACTAGATGTTTTTTAAAATATTCAGCTTACAGTGACATTAGGGTAAATAGACAAGTCATTGTATAACAGTAGTTTCTTCTGCAGACAATCAAACATATATATTGCTTAAAGGGGCTAATAATATCGAGCTACTAAAATAGGTTTCAAAATATTCAAACCTGCTTTTATTCTAGCTGAAACAAAACAAATAAGCCTTTCTCCAGAAGAAAATAAAATAAATATAAAATAAAATATTATAGGAAATACTGTAAAAAAAAAAAAAAAGTCTGTTAAACATCAATTGGGAAATATTTATATATTAAAGTAAATACACCTAAGGAAGAATAATTTTGACTTCAACTGATAATCGTTTTGAATAATCGTGATTACAATTATGACCAAAATAATCGTGATAATGATTTTTCCCCTAATCGAGCAGCCCTATTACCCTCTCATGCTGAAAACTCTCCATATGGGGAGGTAGTGGCTTGGATGCACAAGAAAAGAAACCAAAAAGCCATTCTGGCAACATCCTTACATTCTTTTTTTTTTTATAGTCTCCTCACTCCTCCCCTTTGGTTGGGAGTGCAGCGCACTGTTCTGTACTTCTGAATGGCTCTGGTATTTAAATGTTTCTGTCGTGTCGTATTTGCTGTGGACAGCCAAATCGGTCTTCGCTGGAATCTTGTTGTGTCGCATATATTTAGGACATGGTGTTATAGAGAATTATCACCTGCCTGCAACAAGACAAAACAACGACAACACAGTGCTATTTTTAAATAAAGTCAAAACGTTACGCGTTATAATACAATAATGCACAGCTATTACATATTTAAACAAAACTTGTTTCTTCTTTTGACAAACAACCAAATATGAAGAAGCAAGAACCGAATCCGCTTTAAGTCCTCCATTGTTGTTTATGGGACTGTTCTAGAGTCCACACATTGATTCTAAATGTGTGGAAAGCACACATTCCTCTCTCTATTTGTGCTTGTTTGTTGATCGTTTACATACTGTAGGAAATAAGGAACTTTAGTTCGCAAAAGATGCGAAACGTGACGTCGATTGCAACTTTCTTCCATACACCATGTTTATCAACCAGCAGTGGAAACACAAGCCTGATCAGGGTGACCCGTACCAAACCATAGTGCACTGTACTAAACTGTACCACACTGCTCAGTGAAAATAAGGCATTTCTGTAAGCATCACCTTTTCTAGAAGCAATGTTGGCAGTCACTGTAATCAAGAGACGTCACTCACACGTCTTGCTGTCCTTACAGGGAAGAAGAGGTGCCTAATGAAACACTTCTAAAATAAGATGCTGCAACCAAAAAACCTCTGGAGAGGAAGAAACAGAAAGGAGGAAACTCTGCTGAGCAGATATTCATTACTCAGAGAGAGAGAGAGAATTATATTTAGAGATGAAATTTTTTTTTTTATTTGCTTGTCAGATTTGGGTCAGTATATTAGATTTTAGTTTTGTGTGTTTTTAGCAACACTTTGGTGCCAAATAAAATGTTTAGAAGCTTGATTAAATGTTACATTTTCTATACCAGGAGTTAAAGTGGTTAATGACTTGATTCGTTTACTTTTATAGTTTGAAATTGATGCTAAATTTGAACATACTTCTGTTATCATTTATATTTAATGGTTTGGAATATGCTGTTATCCAAAGCAAATTGCAAATAAACTTGATAGAGTCAACTAAAGAAAAACAGTATGCGAAAACGATTGTAACAATTCCCAGTTAGTATCATTCATTCATTCATTTTCTTGTCGGCTTATTCCTTTTATTAATCCGGGGTCGCCACAGCGGAATGAACCGCCAACTTATCCAGCAAGTTTTTACACAGCGGATGCCCTTCCAGCCGTAACCCATCTCTGGGAAACATCCACACACACATTCACACACACACCCATACACTACGGACAATTTAGCCTACCCAATTCACTTCTACCGCATGTCTTTGGACTGTGAGGGAAACCGGTGCACCCGGATGAAACCCATGCAAAGGCAGGGAGAACATGCAAACTCCACACAGAAACGCCAACTGAGCCGAGGTTCGAACCAGCGACCTTTTTGCTGTGAGGCGAAAGCACTACCTACTGTGCCACTCCCTCGCCATTAGTATCATTTAAAAGTTAAAAAATTTCAACAGAATGTTGTTAACTGTTAAGTGTTAGGCCCAATCCCAATTGTATTTTTGTACCCCTAGCCCTTCCCCTTTGCCCTTACATTCCAGGGTTAAAGGGAAGCACTACAGCACCTGCACACGTCATCATATGTCCTCGCGATCTCTTGCTTTATATGAGATCAGACGATCGCGACTGCTGTAGTTATTCCAGTTGTGTCGTTTTTGGTATTTGTCTTCCGGAAATCACTGAAGGGATATATCATGTAATCATAACAGCCTAATATGGCAATAAGATCATAACTATACTGCACATTAACACAGTGGTCATATTCATCTATGTAAACACACCACAGTGTTTCCTCTAGGATTTTTTCCAGCTGTGGCGGCAGGCCTTTTTTTTACACAGATCTACCGACTACCTGTGGCGTTATTATTTCAATGACAAATGTCGTGAGCGCAGTATTAGAAGTCGGGATGGCATTTATGTAATAGCCTACGAGCATGCGAATCTCGTGCTCCTGCTCGTGCACAAAACTTCTTGCACGCCATCTCAAATATAAGCCGATTCAGAAGCGCGCAGATCTTCATGTGCGCTCTCAAATAAACGCCCCGCCATGGAAGAATGAATGTAGAAACTGTAAATAGTAGACACTGTAAAAGGCTCGTTCTCAGCCATTAGACATTACTGACAGGGTATTTCAGTGTCATTGAGTGTCAGAATGTTGTGGGACTGCTGTACAGGAGTTATTATTAGGGATTATAGATTGCGAATTTTAGCGGTTTTTATTTTAACGTTTTTTGAATTTATTAAAACATGTCTTTGTTTGTTTTGAAAATTCGTAATAATGACAAAAAATACTAATTAGTGGATCTCCTTACTTCAGGGTGCAGCTGGAGCTAGTGTATTCTGGGAAATTTTTCTTACCCCTTGTTTTCGAGTGTGGTACTAAAAAATCTTCGTTTGAAGGGGTGTATACCCCTTGCCCTTAGCCCTACGCCTTCAAGCTAAAGAGAATTGGGACACCACTACCCCTTCACGGGCACACGGAAAGCGAGGGGTAAGGGTATAAGGGGAGGGCTAAGGGGTAGAATTGGGATTGGGCCTTAAAGTGTGTTCAAGTCCACCTTTCCAAGTCTATACAAATTGTAGCATTTTAAACCAACAGTGTTGCGAAATGTAGACCTAATATTATTATTGTTGTTCTACCATATGTTTGAAGTAACAGTAATAATAGCCTACTCATATTAACCTTTATTTTACATCTACAGAATCGTGAGAAAATTGTGGACTACAAAAAAATCGTGATTTTCATTTTAGCCAGAATTGTGCAGCCCTATGTCAGATACTACAAAGTATTTGGTTGGTCAAGATTTGATAAGGAAGTATGAAGGGACATGAATAAAAAAATGGAAGTGACAAACTGCAAGCTTTAGATGTTTATGTCTATATACGCAAATTTTGTCACTGTTTTATAGCACACTAGCTTACAGATATCCTGATGCTAACGTCTAAAAATAAAATGTTTTATTTTAACTGGACCTTTAAAATATGATTTTATAAATTGTGCTCCAGCATTTTTATAATCTGAGGTTGAATAAATAATGACAGATTCTTCTCTAGTAGGCCATCTTGAGTGTCTGTTTCAATAACATTGAGCAATGTTTGATATTATAATGATTCCTGAAGGCAGACTGAAGTAATGATTCTGAATCTTCCCCTTTACCATCACAAAGACTTCAAATACATTCTGGTTGGAAAGGGTTATTATAAACTACCAGTATATTCAGTTTTTACCCAATTTCTGAAGGCCCAGAACTGTCTAGCAATAGACCAGGAACATTAAACTATCCTTGCAGTCGATTCCTTCTAGCGAATACATCAGAGAGACAATGGCTAATTAAGAAACCGATGCGGACAGATAGTCATGCTGTTCGCACATTAATTTTCCTCGTCTTGACCCGTTCAAAGTATTTGTCTGAGTAGAAACCGTGCTAACAAGATGAAGCGTCGGTTTACTTGCGTGTGACTGGATTTAATTAGCGGCCCACATAGTGTCCTATGTAGAGCCCCCTTATCAGTGTACGTTCAAGCTGTGGAAGTTAAGAACAGTTCTTCTTGTCTATGTCCTGCCAGCGTTTGTACATGCGTGTTGACGAATATTCATGAGCTTGTGGCCTGTACATGCATATTCATTAACAATCAGCTTTTGATTGGCAGGTTCCTTTTTCGCAGTGGAAACCAGGAGCACCCAGGAGACAAAATCGAGAACACTACTGTCGAGATCCTGCCCTTTTCGGTAACAAATAAAACACCAACACCTACAACACATTCTCAATTAGAAAGAGATGGTTTGCTGTAAATGTCCAAACAAGTCTTGGGGCGACAGGTTTGGCGTAGGTATCTTGCAGATGCTAAGACCAGGGCTAATTTTAGGCTATATTTACGTGTTTTCATTTTAACGTGAAAATGATCCTTGTCCATACTGTTGCTTCTAATAAAGTTCAGAAAAGATGTCTACGCTACATGACTGAAGTAACCAGGGGCCTCATGTACAAAGACTTGCGTACGTACGTACTTGTGTGCATCCGAATTAACGTGAAACTGAGCACACATGCACGAGAACAAAACCCCTCCCTGCCTCCTCCCCCTAATAAATATGGTAATGACTTCACTCTGGCAAAATCAAACGAAAAAGCAATGGCAAAAGCAAGAAGAGAAACTTCACTGAACGTGAATTGGAGGTGCTCCTATCAAAGGTAGACCGGAGAAAAACTGTTATTCGCACATTTGTCCTCCGCAATTAATAACAAAAGAAAAAAATAGAGTGGGAGAGTTTAGCTGACGCGGTTAACGAAGTGGGGGCTGAACATTGCTCTGTAAACGAATTCAAAAAGAAATGGTTCGATGTGAAGGTGCAGGTAACGAGGAGAACAGCGGCACACCAAGTGTGGACCAAACAGGCAGGGGAACAGGGGATGCTGAACTAACACCCTTTGAGGAGTAGAGTTGGGTATCGTTTGGTTTTTTCCAATGCCAATGCTAAATCGATACTTTTAAAACGATACCGGTGCCTAAACCGATACTTTTCAGCAAAAAAATTTATATATGCAAATTATATATGCAAATTCAAACCCTTTATTCAAACCCATTTTTATGCACCTTCCCTCTTTCCCTCCTCCGACACTCCCCTCTAAACATAGCTGGACACGCCCACTTTCCTGACTTTTTCAAACTAAAGGGTTTCGTGGCCCTTTAAGAAGGAACATAGAAACGTTATCTGACTATCATCTAGCAGCTAAATGTGTCTGGAAAAATATTCAAAGGCTTTTATTTTCATAAACAGTGCGGATGTGAATGCGTCTAAATGTTCTGATTGGCTTTAGTAGGCGTCTCACATCAGTCTTTACGGCAATTTATCTTCTGCGTTCATGTATGAGGATATAATTATTTGAACACACTTCATTATTATTGTTAATTTATTCGTTTGCTGGAAATTAGACCTGAATTTAGAAATAGTTTTGAAACAAATCTTTGCGCTTAACAAACAGAATTAATTATGTAGGCTAATGGATGTCGGTGCGTACAACACCTTTCCCTATCCACGAGAGTGAAAGTGAAAATAAAGAGGCTAAATAGAGGAGGCTCATTCTTTACCCTCACACTGCAGATGCTCTGTTTAACTGTTTTCTCATTAGTGAAGAGTTCAGTTTTTCCACTAACAAAGTCTGCCATGTAAAAGGCAAATGCGCTATGGCGCGATGCAACTGACTCTTAAAGGGAATGGAAGATGATACTCTGATTGGTTTATGCTCAAAACAGACCCATAACTCATTAAGAGAATAAGCTCAACCCTGTTAGACCATGCGCTAGAGCGGATTTTTCCGTCCTTGAAATAGCAAAATTTGATTCTGACACTCCCTTAATGCTTTTTGGTCAGGTTTTTGAACAATTAAAAGAGTCTGCAGCCATTTCCAAGGTTTGTAAACTCTGCAGAAGTGTGAATGCTTGGCTTAACCTTAGCTAAAATCATTTGAAAACATAAAAGCAGTAGTGTAAACATAGCCTTAGTCAATGACAGGTTGAGCTGCTGCGGTAATGAGCCAGTGAACTGTCATCCTGCTGTGATACAGAGCTTCAAATGCGCTTTGATGTTTGTCCTAGAAGTCTTTCCATGAATAAACTAGACTGTAATTCATCACGGTTTGTGTAAATATCGTGTTTTTGGTTATGTTTTTTTTTTTTTTTAATCAAAGTATACAAACATTACGCCCACACTTGTGTCTGATGTTATTAGCATAATGCTAGTCCCTCTCAGACTCTGTAAGTGCCACCAAATGAGGATGTTACAGTATGTATCTTTTGCAGGACGGCGAGTTGAAGACCAAAGAGAAATACAAAAGAACAGAGGATCGCTTTTACAGACTCGGTGAGTCGTTCCATTAATGCTCACATCAGCAGTTTCACACTTAAAGCAAATGATTGTTCTGCTTTGAATGTAAATGTTGGTACCTCTTTAAAACGATGACACCCATTCATTCAGCTTGTGCTCAATACTTTTCTCTCAGCATGAGGAAACATCACACTTTTCTCAATCTCATTTTGACTTGTTTTATATACAGCTGTGGGGGAAAATGGTTGAAAACTGTAAAATGGATTTTGTCTGGATTATAATTATGGATTTTTGTTTTAAAACAATTCAATCATTTCCCTTCGGCTTAGTCCCTTATTTATCAGCGGTCACCACAGCGGAATGAACCGCCAACTTATCCAACATATGTTTTACACAGCAGATGCCATTCCAGCTGCAACCCAGTACTGGAAAACACTGCACCACCGTTATCATATTAATGTTAAATAAAGGTAGAGTTAGAGACTTGAAGTTAAATTAATAAATAAAAGTCACAAAGTCCAGAAATAACGCAAAAACATTAAAACATATGAATAACGAATTAAATATCTGAATAAAAACAAGAGAAAGTAACAAGAAAATAATAATAAACGACTGCCAATACTAACAGTTAACATGCAAAATAATCAGCAAGACTCATCAAGTCTAACAGCGGTGAGGCATCAAGAAATGGTGCCCAACTTTAACCATACAGTCACTTTTGATCCATTTATTTCATCCATGTAGAATAAAATGATGATTTTGTTTTTGGTGGGGATAGAAATGAATACTTTTTAAAAGTAGTCTAGGGGTCCGTTCTTTGTATGTGGATTACTCGATTAGCTGGATTTGGATGTTGACGATTTGACATGTTCCAGGATCGTTTCCTTCTTCAAAACTCATCTGAGACTTATATATATATATATATATATATATATATATATATATATATATATATATATATATATATATATATATATATATATATATATATAGAAACTGTATAAAAATCTGCACTCTGAAATAAAAGTAAAAGACCGCCACCTGGTGGTTTAAAGAGAAAATTTATTAATATGAACTTTTTAGATGCTAACGCGTACTTGCACAATATTCGACTTAAAAAAAGGATAATAATTTATGCAGTCATGCACGTGTTTTAATCACTAATATGCAGGTGATTGACACCTTTACCGATATCAAAATGCTTTTTTGATGCAAAATTAATTTATAGTTATTCCTTTTGGCGATTAAAAATAACTTGAGTAGGCCTATAGTCTACTATAATAAAGAAAATCTTCTCTAAATGTAAAACTAAATACATTGATATGCATTGAAATACATGATGAATACTCTTGACACATGAAAGGGTAAAGCCTGCAGCTCACAACAAACGTGGAAAGTTATGTTAGCAATTTTGCTAACATGTCATGGATAATTGAATATTAATCAGATGATGTCATTACGCTGCTCTGCATGATTTCGAGGATCGATAAATCTGTCCCTCACAACACACGCAGCGATCTCAGATCAGTTCATCCAGACATTTTAAGCTGATTCGCCAACTTGTTTGATTAACCAAATTAGCCAGAGATCAGTTATCAAGATCAAAAGATCCAGGATCTGCTAAATCAACTTAGATCATTTAAGCGAGGTACGAAGAACGGACCCCAGGTCCCAGTGTAACTTTTGTTTTCAAAATAAAAACTTAGTTATATATGATATTAAAAAAGTTTTATAATGTTATATAAGAAAACTATGTTTTTATATAGTCTGCTCTTCTCTTTGAGATTGTTTTACATAGTCTGCTCTTCTCTTTGAGACTGACAGTATTTCTGTGTTTTCTCTCTGTTCTTCAGCTCAGTTTGAGAATGGAGTGGCTGAGGGGACTGTGGAAGCTGTTTTTAACCCTGTGGTGGCTGTTCGTCTGTCCGTCCAGAAAGACTCTGCTGTCTGGGCCATTATTAGCGAGGTCTGTTTGCTGTTTTCTGGGCTTGAGCTGGATGGTGGTGTATCAGAGTAAAGATTTTACTGTGCTGTAACTATATAGGTCCTATTCTCTTCATTATTTTGACTTTTGTTTTTATGTACTTCTGTAAGTATGGATCAATGTTAAGCTCTCATTGCATTAGGCATGGGCCGGTATTCACCTTAATCTTCGCGCACGAGCGGGCGCAGCCATTTTAATCATTTCGGCTCGAGACTTCCGGTATTAATCGCTTCCATTCATTGTTTAGACGTAAAAACAGATTTTTATGCTGCTTGATGCTGGAAATTGATACTTTTTTATTATTATTGATACTTTTTTAATATTATTTTTTACCCGCTCGCAAAAAATACACACTCAGGCCTTGTTTACACTAATACGTCTTAGTGTTAAAATGTCATTTTAGAACTAAAATGATCCACATCCACACCGTTTTACCTATTCCCCTTGGCCACAACTGGGTCTTCCAAACAGACCATGACCCTAAGCATACTGCCAAATTAGTAAAATGTGCTTTAAGGACAACAGAGTGAATGTTTTGGAGTGGCCATCACAAAGCCCTGATCTCATTCCTATAGAAAATTTGTGAGCAGAGTAGAAAAAGCTTGTGCGAGCAAGACAGCCTACAAATCTGACTTGGTAACACCAATTCTGTCAGGAGGAATGGGCCAAAATTCCTTCAAACTATTGTGAGAAGCTTGTGGAAGGATACCCAAAACATTTGACCAAAGTTATACAGTTTAAAAGCAAAGCTAAAAAATACCAAGGAAATGTATATAAACTTTTGACTGTCTAGAAATTAATTTAAAAAATTCTCAAAAAAAATCTTTGATTATTCTGGCATTATCTTTTGTTTTCAATCACTTTAAGGAAAAAAAAAAAAAAAAAAATATATATATATATATATATATATATATATATATATATATATATATATATATATATATATATATATATATATATATATATATATGTAATGGCAATGAATTCTGTGATAACACATTTAGCAACAATTTCTTTAACTTGATTGTCATATTTATGTCTTTTGTCAGATCCATATCAAGAGAATACCTGGATAACAGCCTGAAGGCCTCTGGTCATCTGGATGGAGACTTGCTGCTTAAATCCACAGTGACTTTTATCAGAGTGTGTTGAGGATCCTGGATTCTTGGTCTTCACCGCTTCACTTTTTCCTCCGGTAGCTTTGTCACTCTCTCCTTTCCCCTTCTACTCTTCCCTGAGTTGGGTGTGAATGTGACTACTACTGTACAGAAAAGAAGTCTTTTTTTTTTGTTCCAGACACTGAATTAGTGTCGTGAAGAATTTGCAATCATCGACGCTCTCATGAAAGTTTGAATTTAGCGTTGAGTGCTGGAGGACGAGTGGATGTGCCCTACTGATGCAGAACTGAAACTGACCTCAATCTCCACGGCTGGGTTTCAGCCGAAAGGTGAACGACTGGGATGATTTTTAGATTTTAGGTTATTGATATTTGACACTCTATGAAGAACATTTCAGAGAGAGAGTAATCGTTGACTGCTTTGCCAAACTTTAAAAAGGCGTTTCTAGAAAACAAACATCATATCTTCGGCCACCAGGAGTGGCTTTTCTTCCTTCGTGTGGGTTTAATGTCTACCAATCAGTCATGGCTTTCGATCTGAAGGTTTTTAATTGCTGTTCTCATTTTTTGACGATCTATGAAGGTGAATTAATTTATTTGAAACAAGTCTTTTAATTTGTAAATGCTTTTATTTTATATTGATTGGATGTGGCAGAGAATTTATTGAAGTGAAGATGGTTGTTGTTTGTGTGTTTGTGAAGGGGGTGCCGAACGTCCACTTCTGTGCCTTAACCTCCAGCGACCCCTAGAGGGCCTGGTGAAGGACTGCCTCGCGCCCCTGTGTCAAAACGCTTAAATCATACTATTGGACAAATCTCCGTATGCTTGATTTAAGTAGGATCTTGAAGTTTAGAGCATGGCATGTTCGTGTTTATGTTCCAGAATCTTGTCGTTTTCGTTTTTCCGTTGAGCATTTCCATCTCGAATAGTCCACTTTCATCATGCCTGTCAGGAAATGTGCTCCTTTCTATGCTGTATCACGAGAATCTGAATGTTCAGCGAGTCTTGATTAAGTCCAGATGGAATCTGCAGATTATGAGGGGTAAAAAGTGATTAATAAAGAAGATGTGGGTGATGTGCTTGGCTTTAACAGTAGCTGAAAGCACAATCACAAGCTGCTAAAGGAGCATGGTGATGGGGAAAAAATAGACTGCATTTCAAAGCATTTGAAAATGTTTCCATTTAGCTTTCTCTCAAATTTATTGTGTCTCATCTCAGATAAAACTACGCAACAGTACTTTAAAGAAATTGCAACACATTTCTTTGAGAAATATGATACGTTACAGACGAATTCAAAGTAGATTGAATTACATTTGTGAACACCATTCACAATACACCATTTTTGGGGGGAACAGATGAACATGCAACGTTTATTAAGGGAATACTGTACTCTCTTGTAAACAAAAACAAATGAAAATAAAGCTTTCACGAGCATATGCAACATTTCTTAGAGGAAACAGACTCTTAAAATGCAAACAAAAGTTTGTTAAGGGAAGCAATACTGTTATGAGCAAATCATTAAAATGGTTTTCATTATAAAAATCCATCTTATCATCCTTTCTGTACGTTATGGCCAAAATTATTTGAACATTTGGCATATTTAAAGTGTTAGTTACCCCCAATATAAGCAGTCTGTTATTGATTACTGATCCTCATTTCAGTCCAATCACCTGAGACATTCGTTCATATTCAGAACATAAATTAAGATATTTTAGATGAAATCCTAAAGCATCTTCCTCAGACAACAAGGATCATGAGAAGTCCAGAAAAGGAACCAAAAACATCTTCACACATGTGACTCTCAAAAGACTTTTGCGCACCAAACATTTTGTATTGGATTGTAATTTCTGTAGTACACATGCTCCCCTAAATGAAAGAGCAAATATTGTGGGAACAAAGTCATATTAACTGTTTTTATTTTTATGTTTGGCACACAAAAGTGTTCTTGGAGCTTTGTATGATTACCGTTAAACCACTGACGTCACGTGTTTGTCTTGGAATGTTAGCTCCTGTTCTAGGCTGTCTATGGAGGATGAGGGAGCTCTCAGATTTCATCTAAAATATCTTAATTTGTGTTCTGAAGATAAACAATAGTCTCAGGGGATTTTTTTATTTTTGGGTGAACTAACCGTTTAAGAAAGTTTAGATGTTAAAGTTAAGCTAAATTAATAATATTCATAAAATGAGTGAAATATGCTTTATAAACTAGAGCTGGCGTAAGGAGATTTAGGTCATTTTCCTTACCAACTTCACTGTCAAAATGATCATGTTCTTTCATTGAATTCAAACCTCTCAGGAAATATGGACATTATGCTAGTAGATAAGCCGCTGCCAGACACACCAAATATTACAGATAAGTAACATCTGCATGTTTCATTAAACACGGTCGTGTTTTTGGAGGCAAAAAACATCCCAATGTTTACTAGTTTTGACCACCGTTGCATTTTCCCCATCACCTTTTGCACCTTTAGGCGCTCCATAACAATAAAAGAATCTATGTGTAGAACTTTCTTCATGACATTCACATCATTAATGTGCGGATTCTGTGTGGACCTGGTCAGGAGCAAAATATCAGCAGGACCGTAGATTTCCAATGGAAAAAGCTGCCTCTACATTTATTACATTGTAAAGCTACGGTTACGCTATTTTGCCGGTAGCTCCTGGCATAAAGACCCGGTGGTGAAGTAACTGCTGTACAGATTTCCAAAGTGCTCTCATCTCATGTGATTGTATATATAAATATCTTTAATAAGAAGGAAGTTTTAGTTCAGCCAGACATAACGTGTTCAAGTATCAGAGCATATCACCCTCGTTTCTATTGAGGTAAAGTCTGTTTTATATTGGCACATTCATTTTTAACTTTGTTTTTAACTAAATTTGAATATTCGGTCTGAAATCGCATGCAAGTATGACTTCAGAACAACATTAGCACTATTTAATTGGCTGTGTGCAGTGCTTTACTTTGATAGTCGTTGGCTGATTATATGATTTCACTATTTAGATACTTTAGATACACTATTAAATTACTTTTCTGAAATTATATTATTAAGGAGAACGTCTGAATGTGCGAATATAAAACCGACTTTATCCCAATCTCGTTTCTGTGACTACTCGGAGCTGGTTGTGAGCTGCAGCGTGTGTGTTTTGTAACTGAAAGCCAATGTACTGTCATAAACAATTGTTTACAGTTTGTTTCTGAGGTAAACCCTCGGTCTGGTCCAGGCTTCCATGAGATGGACGATTGGTCTTTCTCTGTGGTCTGCCGAATTGCTGCCTGTTATTTGAAGTCAGGTTTGTGCTCAGTGATCTGTTGTCCTCTAGTTAAGCTCTCATTGCCCTGCTGAAAGAAACAGCTTATATTAGCCTAGGCTGGTTTTAGCTGATGGACCAGCCTGGTTTTAGAGAGGTTTTGGCCATTTCCAGGTTGGTTTCACCAATTTCCACCTTGGTCTTAGCTGGAATGACCAGCTAAAACATAGGCCTCAAACTGGATTCCTGGATGGCTGCAGCTCTGCACAGTTTTGCTCCCACCTTAATCAAACACAGCTGATCCAACTAATCATGGTGATCAACACTATTAGTGACCATTAAGCAGTTGTGTGTTGAAGGTGGTTGGAGCTAAACTATGCAGAGCTGTGGCCCTCCAGGAATTGAATTTGAGACCATTGAGCCAACACCATCCTGGTTTAAACTGGAAATAGCTGGTTTTGGCTGGACTCCCAGCCTGACTAAGCTGGTCAAGCTGGTTTTAGCTGGTCATCTCCCAGCCTGACCAGCTAAGACCAGGCTGGAAATGGCCAAAAAGCGGTAAATAAATGGAGTTTGAGCGCCAGGGGTAGAAAACCCCTCTACAGTTACTCAAATTTATTTCATTAATAAGAAAAGCAATCAATATATTAATAAAAGTGAAAAACAAAACCTAAGCTTTATATTCAACACATTTAGTTCAAATCATCATAAACCAAACAAACTTAGGCTGGTTTAAGCTGCTTTTTTTTTCAGCAGGGTGGGCAGTTCTCCATCTGGGACGAGCGCGTGTTCACCCTTCTGTCTTGCATTGAGATGAATCAGACATGAAACGTGCAGTCTGGACTTTCATGTGCCTTCATCTGTCTTTCTCCAGCTCTGACATTGATTTCAATAAACCGGTTCAACACAAACGTGGTCATTCATTGTTTCATGTTTCCGTGTTGCCCCTTCATTGCTCGTTTAATTTATAAAGTGCAATCATGTTGGCTAATTGAAGGATGCATTTCCTTTTTTTAGGTGAATTATGTTTTAAATTTCTGAATAAATTATGTAAATTATGAATAAATTATGATTTTATAAGGTGTAAAAGTGATTTCTTATAGTTATATTGTGTCTTGTATTGTGTCCGTGTTTGGCCCCATTAAGAATTTGTGAAAGTTCATTAGACACAATTAAATATTAAACACCGCAGCATTTGCAAACTAGAAACTTCTTGAAAGCCATTTCATGACTTTAAACCATGAACACTTAATACTTTATCATTTATTCATTCATTTTCAACTGCTTTTTGGGACCGGGTTGCGGGGGCAGCAGTCTTATCAGAGAACCCTAAATTTCCATCTCCTCAGACACTTCCTTCAGCTCCTCCAGGGGGATCCCGATGCTTTCCCGGGCCAGCCAAGAGACATAGTGCCTCCAGCGTGTCCTGGGTCTCCTCCAGGTAAGACATGCCTGGAACACCTCCCTAGGTAGGTGTCCAGGAGGCATCTGAAACAGATGCCCAAGCCACCTCAGCTGACTTCTCTCGATGTGGAGGAGCGGCTCTACTCCAAGCTCCTCCCGGGTGACTGCTCCTCACACTATCTACAAGGTTGCACCCTACCACCCTGCGAAGGAATCTCACTTCAGCCGCTTGTATCTGAGATCTTGTCCATTCCATCATGACCCAAAGCTCATGACCATAGGAGAGAGTAGGAACGTAGATTTACCGATAAATCGAGAGATTTGCCTTTTGGCTCAACTCCTTCTTTAACACAACGGGCCGGTACATCGACCACATTACTGCTGCCGCTGAACCAATTCGCCTGTCAATCTCACGTTCCATTCTTCCCCTACTCATGAACGGAACCCTGAGATACTTGAACTCCTCCACCTGGGGAAAGCACTTTCATCCAACCTGTAGATGGCAAACCACCTTTTTCCAGTGGAGCACCATAGCCTCAGACTTGGAGGTGCTCATTCTCATCCCAGCCGTGTCACACTCAGCAGCAAACCACCCCAGTGCATGCTAAAGGTCCATATTTGATGAAGCCAACAGAACAACATCGTCTGTGAAAAAGAGATGAAATGCTGTGGTCCCTGATCCGGACTTCCTCCAGCCCAAGGGTGCACTTTGAAATTCTGTCTATAAAAATTATGAACAGAATTGGTAACAAAGGGCAGCACTGCCAGAGTCCAACATGCACTGGAAACAAGTCTGACTTATTGCCGGCAATCCAAACCAAACTCCTAGTCTGTTCACACAGGGACGAGACGGCTCTTAATAGAGCACTTCTGACCCCATACTACCAGAGTATCCTCCACAGAATGCCACGAAGAACATGGTCGAATGCCTTTGCAAAGTCCACAAAACACGTGGACTGGTTGGGCATACTCCCATGAAGCCTCGAGCACCCTGGTAAGCGTATAGAGCTGGTCCAGTGTACCACGGCTTGGATGAAAACCCTATTTTTCCTCCCAAATCATAGGTTCAACTGACACTTTGAATTCAAATTAAATTATCCATAAATTAATAGTCTACATTAAATAATCCTTGTTTTAATATAGCAATAGTGTAGGCCTAGTAATCTTGGATTTTTTACTATTGGTTAGCATTTAAATTACTAGTTTCACTAATGACATTTGTTTGTTTGATTGTTTATTTTTTTGTGAAGTAGAACCAAGGTTTGATTTTGTACGGGTAACATGAGACAGAATTATGAACAGCCTGAAGACCTTACAATTTGTCAACGCTAAACACTTTTTTTTGACAGCTTAATTAATCCTAGTTTAATAAACATTAACCATGGTTTATGTTAAATTATTTTTGGCAGATTGATTACAATGGTGTATCAGAGGTGTGTGTTGGAAACATGGTTGTGTTTTAAAAGGTTATTAAAAATGTGGTTTTATTGTCAAAACATATGAGACAAACGTAATTTTACCGCCATCTCTTGGTGAATAGAAGTACCTTACACTGTATGACCGTCAAACACTTACATAATACAACTGAAAACAGCGCAGATTGTGAACGGTGTAGCATTATTTTACATTATTATTTCTCTTTTTAAAATGATAGTACAGACAAAACTGAGAATTATTTCATTTATTCACCCTCCACCTTTTTTCAAACCTGTGTTGGGTTGGAGATATTTTGACAGTCTTTCCTACTTTTTTCGTTTCCCGTTTTCATTTTTTTTTCAGAATATCTTCTTTTATGTTCAGCAGAATAAAGAAACTCGTTTGGAACCACTTGAGGGCGAGTACATTGTCATTATAAGAGTACTATCACTTTAATAAATGCTCGCGGAGATGTTAAACACTTGCGAACTACAATTCCCACAGTGCATGAATGTACCACTTCCGAATATACGTCATATTTAAAATGGCCGCTTTCATAATAATCTCGCGTTTGACATACCTGTAGTTTGTTTAGTCGTTTTTACCAAATTCCTACTCTAATATTTCGCTTTATTGTGCTCGGATGAAAGCTCTGCAGGATGCCCAAATATTATGAAGATAAAGAGGATGACGGCCGCGCCTGCTCTGGATTAAGAGAAGATTTTAAAGCCTGTCTCCTTCAGCATGACTGTGTAGTGAAGGTAACATCACATTTATCAAAACAGCAGTGAGCTGTCAACCCCTGACGAAAGTTAAAACCTTTTTTATTATCGTAAACGTGTGGTAGACATGTTTTTGGTGCATTTATTACAACTTGTATTACCACATTTTGACGACAAATGTTTGACTGTGGTTAGTTTAGCAAAAGCACGTTAAATGTGTGGCTATCAAGGATTAAAAAACTGTAAACTTCAGTTTATCTCGTAGAAAATCCACGATTAGCTTTCGTAAAATGGTTTGTTTCTGGTAAAAGGGGTGTATTTTTTCAAAATGTGGACCTTTTTGCAGTTCTTCACCTAATTTTCCATTTATTTATAGGATTTCAATTCTGCGTTTGACTTTTTAGCACTATTTTTAGCTAGATTAGTCATTGGTCATAACCACTTTTTTTAAGAACCAAAATATTTCGTCAATATTTACAATAAATAAATATGAATAATACTTATTTTTAAAATACAAATTTATTACATAATATTGCATCATTAAAAAACGTAAATTGTTTTAATATAAATGAAAAATGGATATTGTCATCTAACGTTATTAGGCAAATAACAAACTGGCCTAATTTCCTCAATCAGAATTTGGCCATTTGAATAATAAAATGAATGAATAAAAATAAAACATAATACAATTAACAAAAACAACTTCATGATTTGTCTAGCCTTTGCTGTAAAAAAGTACATTTTATTGAAAATTCATGGATAACACAATAGCCAAATTAATATTTAAATTCATTTTAATATGAGCCACTTTTGGTTCTTACACCCGGGGGCGCAACTACAAATTTACTGAGGGGTTTGCGGTAATTAGGCAAGTTATTGTATAACGTTGGTTTATTCTGTGTAGACTATCGGAAAAAAAAATAGCTTAAAGGGGCTAATAATTTTGACCTTAAAATGGTTCATAAAAAAATTAAAAGCTGCTTTTATTTTTGCTAAAATAAAACACAAAGACTTTCTCCAGAAGGAAAAATATTATCAGACATACTGTGAAAATTTCCCTGCTCTGTTAAACATTTTTTGGGAAATATACATTTTATTTATTTTAATTCAAAGGGGGGTAATAATTTTGACTTCAACCTTATATGCAATCAGTGGCCAGTCACACAATCTAAAGTTCATTGTCAGGCATTTCCCCACAATTGTCTAAAATATGCTGGTATCTGTTTGTCCACAGGAAGGCAAGAAGCCCAGCGAGTGTCTGAAGGAAGGACATTGCAGAAGCATACAGGTGGCTTTCTTTGAGTGCAAGAGATCCATGGTCAGTAAATCTCCGGTCAAATGTGTGCAATTTACTTGTCTGAACTGCTTTAGAAAAAGTACCATGGTTGTACCAGGTTTGACAGATTTAATTAATTTATTTGATCCACTAGGGCTGTGCAATTAATCGAAAATTCAGTTTTGATTTTGGCTTCTAACGATTATAAAAAAAGCATTAATGGAGATGAAAGGATTATTGCATCATATACCGTCCCCTTTCCAGTTTTACACATTTGTTGCTTTGCAAAGCTCAGTTTCATGTGAACATTACTGAAAGCATGTACTGTAATGTAACGTTTGCAGCACAGAATGCGGCATTGCCGTACATTTGAATCATTCTTGTTTTTAAAAGCGCGAGAGAGATCGCATGCTGTTGTGTGTTACGCTCAGCCTCAAGGATGAGCAGAGCACACACATCTAAAGTCATCATGAGCGCTTTGATGGTCAAATAGTTGTCAAAATGCGGTGTTTAGCGATTATTCATATTAACCCTCATTTGTGTAATTAACAAACGAGTTGAGAATGAAAAGACACGTGAAGGAGAAATCATAAACAAAAAATGTAACAGCGCACAATATTCCTGCTGCCGAATGTTTTAATCATTAATCAAACAACAAATGGAGAAAATCCCTCACTGCTCCTGACTGAAGGACTTTTTTTTGTGATCGTTTTATTGACTTTAGATTAACATAACTAAAAGACATTCAAACAACCAAACAGGGGAGGGGGAGCAACAGACGTTTCAAGAATTTTCAATCTGAAAGATTTACATTAAGAAAAAAAAAAAAAAAAAACTTTACATGGTCATTTCTTTAGATAGTCCAAAATGCTGGAAGAAAAGCATTGCCATGCATCAATGGTACTAGGTCTAGCCTTATTAATTTGTGCTATTAAAGCTTCACAAGTCACTATTTTAAGAAGGCTATGAATCCAAATATTTTTTGCACACATGTGTGGAGTAAACCAATTTTGTATGATTGTCTTCTTTGCAGCTGTAAAACCAGCAAACAACATTCTCTTCTTTAGTGTACTTGTACAGAAATTTGTATCATCATTGAGAAGACATACACCAGGATTAGACACATAATCAACTTGTGGTAAAAAGAAACTAAACAGAATTTACATGAGACCACAGGTCGGCAACAATTGGACATTCCCAAAACATTACCAGAGGATACAGTGTTACAGATATGACAGTTGTAGTTAGACTGCAGTTTCATTTTAAATCTCTTATAAGGAGTCGTGTATGCTCTATGTATAACTTTGAAATGAATAAGACGATGAGCTAAGTGTTTAGAGGTTAACATTAGGTTAGACCACATCCTGTCCCAGTCAATCGAAAAGTTCAAATCTGTTAGTTCACTATTCCATATAAGTTTGATAGAGAGAGGCTTTGCAATGTGATCATTAAGTTTGCTATATATTACCGAAACAGATGGTCGACCCGAGGGTGGTGCGATCCAATCCCTGACTGAAGGACTTTTGTAGCTATTATAAAGTTTTTCTTACAGTGAAGATGCTTATAGAACAGTGTGTTTTATATGTTATTCTATTGTATTTATTTCCTTTTTCTTATTTACAGGGAGGAAAATAACTAAATGTTTCCAGTTTAAGTCAAAATTATTAGCCCTTCTAAATTTTTTAGCGACCCTTCTCCCCATTTTCTGTTTTCATTTTATTTTAAAATTATTATATTATTCTTATTTTTAAATTCAACTATAGGGGTGCGGCCGGTTAGGGGGCCTAACAAGACAATGAGCCCAGGGGCCCCTGAGTTCTTAATCCGGGCCTGGTTAGGATAATTAGGCAAGTCAATGTATAACCGTAGTTATTTCTGCATTGATTAAAGTTATATATAGCTTAAGGGGGCTAATAATATTGACCTTAAAATAGATTTAAAAAAAATTTAAACTGCTTTTATTCTAGCCAAAATAAACAAATAAACCTTTCTCCAGAAGAAAAAAAAATATTGTAGGAAATACTGCGAAAAATTCCTGAATCTGTTCAACATTATTTGGGAAAAATTTATATATATATATATATATATATATATATATATATATATATATATATATATATATATATATATATATATATAAAATAATTCACAAGAGGACGAATAATTTTGATTTTAACTGATAATCGTTTTGAATAATCTTGATTACAATTTTGACCAAAATAATCTTGATTATGATTTTTCCCATAATGGAGCAGCCCTATGATCCACTAAAGCTCATGATTTAATTATGATTTCGATTTGAAACATTTGTATTTATGTAGGTTTTCTGAGCAAATTTTGCTGTGAAAACCTAAATAAATACAATGTCCAAATAGCTTGAAACTAGCCCAAAAATATATGCCACCAGCCATTAATAAAATACATTTGACATTATGCATTACTTAGTTTTCTAATTGAATATAAACAATATATTAGTTATTATAAGGATTATTTTATCATGGAAAACTTCCTTAAAGGCATAGTTCACCCAAAAATGAAAATTCACTCACTCTTGAATCGTTCCAAATCAAGTTTCTTTTCTCTGTTGAACACACAAAAAAAGATATTTTGAAATAAGCTTATAACCACTACTATGGAAGTCAAAGGTTACAGGTTTCCAAAATCTTTCAAAATATCTTCTTTTGTGTTTGACAGAAGATAGAAACTCAGACAGGTTTGGAAGCACTTGAGGGTGAGTAAAGGATGACAGTGTTTTCAGCTTTTGGGTGTTGTCTCTCTCTCTGGTGTGGTGCTGTTTAGTTCAAAATGTAAAGGATTAGTGCAGGGGTCACCAATCTCGTTCCTGGAGGTCCGGTGACCTGCAGCATTTAGCTCCAACTTGCCTCAACACACCTGCCTGGGTGTTTCAAGTATACCTAGTAAGACCTTGATTAGGTTCAGGTGTGTTTGATTAGGGTTGGAGCTAAAATCTGCAGGACACCGGCCCTCCAGAAACAAGTTTGGTGATCCGTGGATTAGTGCAAATGCAGAACAACTCTGGTGGAAGTGACCTTACTTAGTTTTAGCATCATAGGATGACATGTAATTGACACAATATATCAAAAAATGAACCTGGAGAGAAAAAAACAGCCCGCAGGAAATGATTAAAAGTAGCTAAATTCCCCAGGAAAATCACAGACTTGGCAACCTGGATATACTGTACATTCACCGGCCACTACAATAGGTTCAGTTTGCTAACACCGAGTTAGAGGCCATTTTGCTGTTAGAAACAGCCGTAATTCTAAAGTGCTGAAAACATACCTTATAGATTTTGGTCCATGTTGACTTGAGGTAATCGCAGGGATTCAGATTTTTCGGCTGCACATCCAAGACCCTTAAATGTCCAGATCTCAACTTGTAGAAGTTTTTCCCCAACTGTGTTCCTGGAGGCTCACAGACAGCACATATTTTGGATGTTTCCCCTATCGGACACATTCGTTTCAGGTTTTGGTGTCTCCGCAGTTGATTCAGGTGTGTTTGATTAGAGGTTAAAAATGTGTACCGTCGGTGAGCCTTCAGGAACAGGGTTGGGGAAAAACTGATATAGGTTGAGAAGTCATTCGAGTTTAGGGAACTAAGTTGTTCTGGAAACAGTTTGACATTGACAATTTGAGCTATGTGATATGGTGCATTATCTTGCTTAAAGTAGCATCACAAGAAATGCACACTGTGGTCATTAAATGACGGCAAATATTGATTAATCTGTGTACTGCAGCAGAAATTAAAACCCAAAACCAGGCACCCAACCTTTATTTTCTCCTTTTTTCAGTAGTTGAATCTGTGTGAACTGTAGGCTCAGTTTGGTGGTGTTTGCTGAGAAGAGTTGGTGTTGTAGGAAACTCAGAAGTGACATCTTTTTCCTTATCAATGCACAGACCAAGCAAACACTTAGGTGTTCTTCAAGCAGGATTCTTTATTGCGAACATGCTGGTTGTGCTGCAGTCATCCAAGTCTATTTAGAGCAGTATTGGATGATATTTAATAGGCATTCAGTGGGCAGTCCTTAAAGGTGTTGACTCTTAAAAGACACTTCAGCAATGATGTTCCCTTCAGCTAACAATACCGGATAATGCAAACAGCACCAGGGGTGTATTCCAGAAAGCAGGTTATGTGACATACCTGGTTAAGTTTAAGAGTAAGTGGGTGGATAACTTCAGCTTTTGGTTTTAAAAATGGAGTTAACTGTTGGGGTGTGTTAACTAACTTAGCAACTTTACTCTCTGAAGATAACCTGCTCCGAAGCAGTTTATGTTCCAGAATTTGTTTGTTTCAGAGATTACTGAGCTTTGCGTGAGAAGCACAGATGTACGAGTTTTTTCATTGTGAGAGGGTTATTAGTGCATACTTCTTTTCATAACCAAATTAATGTTTGTGTGAGCTTTGTCGTTTTTCAAAAGAATCGTTAATGTAGTTAACAAACCTTTTAAACGGAGTTTGAGTTGGTTAACTCCAAGTTGATTGACTCAACTCAGTTCAGCTGTTATAAAACTGAAAACTCTTGAGTTTTTATTCTCGGTAAATCAACTCAAGTTTAAAGGGCCATGAAACTCCCTCGTTTCAGCAGGGTGTTTTTCACACCTCTACTTTGGAAAAAGTCAGAAAAGTGGACGTGTCCAGCTTTGTTTAGGGGGGAGTGTCGGAGGAAGAAAAGAGGCATGGTGTGGGAGTGTCTATTTGGGCGTGCTGAGTGTTAGAGTCAAAATACACACACACAGGGGACAAAGTGACTGTGTTTACGTTGACATCTGTTGTCGAATTATTTGCCAAATTATTAAATGGTGGACTTTAACTGCAGTTTGGCTCTTTCATTCAGGGAATTCATTCATGTCCCTCGCGACAAACAAGATATTTGATCCGAGGAACTGCTCTAAGCGTGTATTTTTCATGCAATGTTGGATACCGCACGGCGAATGAGAGAAAAAAAAAACTCAGCATTTCCTGGAAACTTAGATGCACACGGCAGGTAGCGTCAGAAAGCCGCGTGTGTTATTCCGGTCACAAAATACAGCAAAAATCCTACACGAGGTTAAAGTTTGGTTGTGGTGCTAACATGTTTACACTCGGTGCAATAGTTTGTTCGATACGAACAAACTGAAAAAATAAAGAGCACTGGTCGCTCACTTACCAAATCTGTAGAGACAGGACAATCACCAGCAACTAGAGCTGCATCTTTATTAAGAGGAGACTACAAACGAATGCGGATCTCAGCGTTTGCAGATGAGAACAGCTCTCAGGTAAACTCTCAGGTGTTGTCGAGCGTCGCGTACACTGTTAATCCACACGTGACTCCAGCTGAGCTCTCACAGAGAGAAAATGTAAACAAAACCTAACGGCAGCAAACTATAAAAGCAACACTTCACGCTCAACGTGGCGTCTCTGTCGTCTAAACACTGACAGTAATGAATATTAATGAAGTTGCACAATAGAGCGCGCTGATTGGTTTGAACCAAGCTTTACTCATACATTAATGCATCACACTGTAAGACGTAATAAGACACTCTGGCACTGACGTCCAGTACGAATTTGCTTGAAATAACGCAAAAACAACCAATTTACACTTTTTAGTGAGATATAAGTGTCCTAATAGTGTTTTTAGCAGTGTGGGACACATATACGACTGTCAATAGCTCAAAAAATGTGTTTTGGTGTTTCGTGACCCTTTAAACGTGTAAAAGGTTATAGTTCAAGTTTAAACTTCGAGTTGGTTGAACCACCTTACTGAAACAGGCCCCAGGTGACAGTTGAGGCTGGTTGAAGCTAAACTATGCAGAGTTGTGGCCTTCCAGGAATTGAGTTTGAGACCATTGGTCTAAATAGACACTGCGATAGTGCAATAAATAACAACGGTCATTAAAAAAAAATCTGCCAATAATATAAATTTAATTTTTTACATTTTTCCAATTTCCATTGTAAAGTTTTCATAAACATTTCATGAAATACCTTTGTCATTTTAAAGTAGTTTTTAGAGCACATGCTGAGATGGGAAAGATGTCTTTTTATATTAAAATTCTCTGTTCTTTTGTCATTCTAGCTGGACACCCGATCTCGATTCAGAGGCAGAAAAGGAGAATGAAAATCACCCACCTTGTGTTTTGAATGAAGATGCTGTGTCTTTCTGCTTCACACACATTTGCTTGTAGAGAAAAACTGCTGTCGTTGACTTATGAGACTCTCTTGAACTGCACCAATGTCATCAAATAAAATAAAGTGTTTTCCAGTTCTGAATAATATTTCATCTGAACAAAAGTTAAACCAGTAGTATTTTAATTATAAAAATGTACTTCATCTAACATTCAACAAACGTTTTTTATCCAAACCAACTATGCGGGAATGGTTTTCAGTCATCATGATTTTATAATCACATAATATAGCCAACAGCAATTGATTATTAACGTGTGTATATAATAGCCAATAGCAATTGATTACCAACATGTATATAGTACTATATACAGCTATGGATGTCATCATTATTTTAAAGCGTTCATCAGGAGCTCTTTAAACCTCTCTAAGTCTACCTTCTTGAGGATGTGGGCTTTGTGAGTCTTCTGCAGGAGATCCAGATGATCCACCACCATCATGCCGCGGCAGCAGTTTCCCGCCAGCTCCACCGTCACGGCTCTCTCTAGACTTTCCAGGATAATGGTGTCATCAATGGCCGCCGCGATGGCGTAAGAGTCGCAGGAGATGAAGCCCTGTCCCGCCACCAGCTCCTTCTCGATCCTCTCGCTGTAGCTGTTCTTCATGCTGTGCTGGAAGATCTGCTTCATGAAGCGAGCTTTATCCGTGTCCTGCGCCAGCCAACCGTCACAGAACTCCTGAAATCCGCACATGCAGAGAGTGAGATGCACAAGTTGTATTATCATTATACAAGCATGCTTATATTTCATGGAGACGTGGATTGATTACCCAGGGTAATTTACTGTGGCAGGTGAACTCCCAGGCTGCAATGTAAACCGGGCAGGTGAACTCATTGAGGACAATATAAGCTGCTTCAGGATCAGCTGCAAAGTTGAATTCTCCACACATCGTGGTGTTTCCTCGAGCTACAGAAAAAAAAAAGGTTGGATAAAATTAAAAATAGAAATATAGATGTGTTTTCCAACCCTGGGGTCCGTTCTTCGTACCTCGCTTAAATGAGCTAAGATTATTTGGCAGATCCTGGATCTTTTCATCTCGATAACTGATCTCTCGCTAATTTGGTTCTTCAAACAAGTTCGTGAATCAGATTAGAATGTCTGGATAAACTGATCTGAGATCGCTGCGTGTGTTGTGAAGGACAGATCTATCGATCCTCGAAATCACGATCAGCAATGCAACGATTGGCTGACGGCACAGCAGTGTAATGACATCATCTGATTAATATTCAATTTTCCATGTGAGCAAAATTACATCAAATTAGCAGTAAACGGTTTGTTAAATATGACACGCAATAACCTTCCACATTTGTTGTGAGCTGCAGGCTTTACACTTTCATGTGTCAAGTGTATTCATCATGTATTTCAATGCAAATTTAGTTCCACATTTAGAAAATATTTTCTTTGTTATAGTAGCCATTTTTTAATCGGTGTAAGGAATAATTGGTTGTTTACAAAAGCGTTTTCATATTGGTAAAGGCGTCTGCAACTTTTGTGAAGCATCAAATCACTGGCATATTAACTATCAAAACATGTTTATGACTGCTGAAATGTATTATTGCTTTAATATGCACATATTCTGCATTTCTATTATACACAATTTGTACAAAAGCGAACTAAAAAGTTCATATCAATAAGTTTTCTCTTTGCACCACCAGGTGGCAATCTTTGTACTTTTATTTCGAGGGTGCAGATTGCATACGTTTTATTAACATGTATAACTTAATTTATTTTATTAATGACTATAACTTTATATATATATATATATATATATATATATATATATATATATATATATATATATAGTTAAAAAAAATATGTACCATTTTCCCAAGTGTATATAACTACTACTGTAAGAAAATATCAGAATTCGGAACATACTTTCTGTATCATATTTGCTTGAACTGAGCCGATCTAATCCTGTTTATATGAATTGAACCTGCTCCCGATCAGGTTTGACCTAGCAGAACTGTTGCTATGACAACAACTCTCGGATCAGCTTTGAAGAACGAAACGATCCTGGATTGTGTCAAATCGTCAATATCCAAATCCAGCTAACTGAGTAATCCACGTACGAAGAACGGACCCGTTCCTTTTTATATATGTTGCTTTATTTAACCAGATAAAAACCCATTGAGATTAAGATCTCGTTTACAAGGGTGACCTGACCAAGACTTATGGAAAAAAAAATATTAATAATAATAATTAATAGAAAAATTAATATAATACAAAAATACAGTTTACTTGTACAGCTATACCACATTACAATATATTAAAGACACATACATTGAGCCCAGATAGTCAAGCAGTGTGAAAACATCTGTGACACGACTACTTTCAAAATCATGCAGTCTGAACTCGGCATAAGGGGCACAGGGTTAATCTGCTCTTCTTTTTGGCATTGTGGCTGTTCATCAAGAAGATGACAAGGTTTGTTTGAGCCCGGGTCGACCATGGCTTGTTATTATATAACAATATATATGTATATAACAATATATACATGTATATATATTCATGCTGTAAAAGATCTCTCAGCTGTGTATTTTAAACATGGCGGCTCTTTTGTTTTCATTCTGGCTTGTTGCGCAAGCAAATGACGTGTCTCTGTAAACCAATAGCAATCAGCTGTGCTTCTAGCTCCGCCTTTTGGTACCCATACTCGTGTTTGGTAGGATGCAGTACTCTTCGATTCGCCTTTTGACAGTGGAAACGGCCATAAAAGCATACCAAACTGAACCGTACCATACCACACAGTGGAAACGGGCCAAAATTACATATTGTGCAGCCCTACAACAAAGTATCAAAAATGTCCTTTTCTTGTGTTTTTAAAAACATCTGCTTACAGATGACATTTTAAACTAAAACAATAATGAATTCTGTATGCCATGTGAGTAGGTGGCATTCTGTAAAGAAATACTATAATGTGAATGTCAAACACTTGCACATGCTTATAAGCTGTAAACAGTACTGACTTGCACTTTGAAACCCACTTTCAAAAGTCTACACTTTCAGGCTTACTAAATTTATATAATCATGTATATTAATAGCCAAAAAGCATAAACGGTAAAGTGTAAATGCCCCTAACACTAGATAAGCACTAAATAAAACAAAAAGCATCAAATATTCTAGACTCACAGTCAGTGTTGCCGCCCATAATGTAAAGGCCTTTGAGTTTTTGTGGTAATGAGGGGTCGAGTTTGACTGCCAGAGCCACATTGGTCAGTGGTGCCGTGGCCACTAAAGACACCTAAAGGAAGCAGAACACAAGATAAAACACTTGACCGTATAGCATTTCTAAAAAATATCCTGTCCTATAACCATACAGACCTCTCCGGGGTTCTCATTGACTATTCGGATCATTGCAGACACTGCGCCTTCCTTCTGGACAAGATCCAGACCAGGAGCTTCAGGGTCCGGTGCGTCCCCCAGTCCATCTTTACCATGAAAGTCTCCAGTGCCGACTACCTGTCCCAGTAGAGGTTTATTTGCTCCACGAAACACAGGAATCTAGAGCAGTACGCACACACATACACAATCAGGTTAAATTGTTATCATGAAGTTCATGTGCTGGACATTAATACATTACTATGCAGGTTGTTCTGAGAGCCATTTAAAGGGACAGATCACCTATAAATGAACATGTACTCATTCTCGAGTGGTTCCAGAACTTTGTTGAAAAAAATGATTTTCAGCATTTCTCTTTTCACTAGTAAACGAGTTTCTCTTTCACTAATATCAGTGAAAGTAATGTAGGGCGGCAACAACGAATCAATTAAATCGATAAAAATCGATTACTAAAAGCGCTGTCAACGAATTTTAAAAATCGATTCATTGATTATAACAAAAAAACTTAAGTTAAGCGTGAAGCGGAGTGAACATGGTCTCTCACGTGCACTGATATAGAGTTTGAGAGTTAGACAAGGATGAGGAGGAAGGGAGCAACAGCTGGGTTAATATCTGCAGAATCCTTCTTTTGTTTCGTTTTGAATTGAGGACCGTTAAGTCCCTGGTGCTGATGCTTTACTTGTTATGCAGCTTGACAAGCATGACATGTTAGCGTTAGCTCGTTTACCTTTAGAGCGGCAACTGAAAAAAATCAAACTGAGCTTTTACGCAGTGTTTGGCGCTGAGGCAGAGAGAGTTCACGCTGGGCTGAGCTCCCAGTAAGGGACAGTCGGAAAAGTGCTCATTTTACAGTTTTTTTTTATCGAAAACAAAACCAACCTACCCCCGCTGAGAAAGACGTGTCATATTTATGCACAATTATGCAGCGTTTTAACAACCTAATGCTTAATTTATGTTTTAAACATGCAAATACACTCAAGTACTAGTAAACAAAAAATTTCTAAGAGTTTGTAAAACACAAGAGTCTAACGATCCATTCAAATATAATTTGCAGATGTGTTTTATTCATATCAGATACACATTACACATAATGAAAGCAACTAAAGTTGAATCTATTCTTCTCTAGGTTCACCAGCCACTTACTTGCATGTATTTGGGGAGTAACTGGTGAATTTACTTGCTGAATCCTGCGTGTTGTGTTTTTTATGAATGAGAAATGCGCGTCAGCAAGTAAACATGGCGTAGACCATCTCATGTTATGGATCACGATCACTTACACGTTTATGTGAACTGGTAAAATAAAAAATCTGTTTGAGATTACATCTCATTAAGATTATTTTTCTTACCCAATTCACAAATAATTTAACTTGTTTTAAGCAAACAATCACTTTATTTTTAGGTGTTTTTTCAGAAAAACAAGACATAATTTCTGATGCTATTTCATTTAGTATGTATCTTGATTTAAAAAAATATTTAGATATTTAGATTGAAAACGGGACAAAATTACTTATAATTATAACGTATGACAGCTCAGGGATTAGCTTTTTAAAATTAATGGTTAGAAATTAATGCTTTTCTTTTTTATTCGATTCATCGATTAATCGATAAAAAATTGACAGATTAATCGATTATTTGAATAATCATTAGTTGCAGCCCTAGAGTAATGGATTGTTGGATGGAAACAATATTTTTAAATAGTTACCCGATTGGCTCACATAATTGAATCAATAATTCTGTCATCGATCCTGTGGTTGGTTTATCTCGGCTATCTGCATTGGCCTTGACATAGCGGCACATTCTCATTCTGAATCAGCAACCAGATTAAGCCTGGGTATGGATAAGATGATTAAACTAGGTCTAGCCAGTTCTTTTTTTCTGATATTCTGGGTTTCTTAATTCTATTTTGTGCAACACCCCCTCAGGTAACCCCTAATGACATCTATAGTATGAAAATTATACACTATGGAGGTCAATGACTACCCATTTCCAACATTCTTTAAATTATGTGCTTTTATGTTCAACAGGAAAAAAGAAAACAGGTTTGGAACAAGTGGAGGGTGAGAATGATGGCAGAATTTGTATTTTTTAAAGTTCAAAATAGCTTCTATAACGACTGTGGATATTATAAATGATCAAATACTGAGCATAAAGAAAGAAGGATAATTCTACTCTCCTCTACAGTAAAGTTTGTGATTGTGACAGTGTGTTATATTGGGAAAACAAGAATGGACTGGTGATCCCATTCCGGGATAATCAACTCTTTCAATTACGATAAGATGACAGTCATGCGCTCCAAAAACAATACTCTGCATTATTTCTTGTCATCGAGAAAACTGAGCTAAATAAGTAAACAACTGCTGACTGATTACATTTATAGTATCTGGTATGCTTACATGGAATTTGAGCAATAATTTCCCATAACCTTTCATGATGGGATTTCTGGACTGTCTTTGTTTGTTGTTAACTAGAATAAGGTAAAGGGATAGTTCGCCTTAAAATGAAAATGTACTCTCTTTTTATTCTCCCTCAACAACTGTCATCCACAGTAGGAAAAACAACTACTATGCAAGTTAATGGTTACAGGTATATATATATACACTTGTTTTATACTTTATATAAATATATGTGTGTGTGTGTATTCATCTTTTTTCACATTGTCATTATGGGGTATTGTGTGTGTGTGTAGAATTTTGAGTCAATAAATGGGTTTATTCCATTTTAGAATAAGGCTGTAACATAAAAAAATGTGGAAAAAGTGAAGCGCTATGAACACTTTCTAGATGTACTGTAAATGAGTACACCTCTCACAATTTTTTCATTTTAAATTCATATTTTTGATAGGAAGCTATTCAATATTATATTTGTGCAAATAAATTAAAATAGGCAGGACTGAAGCCAAATCTGGAGCTTTTCTAACAAAAATAACTTACGACAATGGTCCAAAAACTAGTACACCCACATTTATATATTATAGAACAATTATTAAATACTAATTTAAAAAAAAGGAAAAATTTAATTGAAATTTTGTAGGTAGTAATTTATTTTTGCAATATTTTGTATGAATATAATTGTTTTATCTTTCAATGTCTAATTATGTTTGGTGACTAAAATATTAATTTAGTAAATATATCTGTTTATTAAATCTGTTTTGTTTAAATGCACAAAAAAGCATCACCTATATTCACTGAGAAATGGATCAAAATGAGCTGCACTCAATTATGAATATGCTAAATATGCAGAGTTTTTGGAATATCAAGTTTTGGTACACTAAATGAAAAATGAGCCATTCTCTTCTATAAATCAAGGTAGGACTTTCAACAATTAATACAATTACACAAGACACTTTAATGTGCAGAGAAAATTGTAGCACTTTTTTAAAGCTTGAAACCCCCTTTTCTACTTTTACCCACATACTAATGTTTTTTTTTTTTTTTTCCAGTATACCACCATCTTACCTCCAGATGCTTACAGACTTTGAGAATGCGCAGGACGTTCTTGCACACATTCTCCACTGACGTGTTGCCATGAACGCAGCTGATGCCCAGGATCTGCACGCCAGGCACTGCCAAAGCCATCATGATAGCCTGAGCATCATCCACACCACAGTCCACGTCCACAAACAGCTTCTTCATGCTGAATTCTGGGCAAACAAGTGTTCAAAACAGCTGCTGGTTAAATATCTGGACTGGTAAAATTCAATTGAAATCAAATCACTGTACATTAATTTAGCTTTTGATCTCTCTCTCAATACATATACAGTGGGTAAATAAGTATTAAACATGTCATGTTTATTCTTGGAAATAGTATCACTAATAAAGCTGTTGACATGAAATTGAACCAGATTTTGGTAAAAACCTGAAAAATGAATTATATTTAATAACAATGAAATAACACAGGGATCATGTACTGAACTACTGACACGTGTTTTATACTTTATATAAAAGGTGTTTCTGGTAAAGACGCCTCTCATATGGAGAATGAAATCACATGAATTGCTCAGGTGCGAGTGTTTCACAGACTTCAACAGAGTGTAAGAATCTTGATGTTCTGTGGGTCTCATCTGTCAATTCTGATCTTTATTTTGTATTTCCTATTGGATTTAATTCAGGTGATTGGCTGGGCCATTCTACAGCTTGATTTTCTTTCTTTGAAAGCGTTTGAGTTTCCTTGGCTGTGTTTTGGATCATTGTCTTGCTGAAATGTCCACCATGGCTTCATCCTATCATCCTGATAATGTAGATGTTGAACTAAAGTAGCAAATATTCATTTACACTGAGGAAGGGCAGAGAGTTACTGAAGAACTACTGAAAGATTTCAGCTGCTGTCTGGGCATCCATTGCCTTTCTATACCTCTCTTTCTTCATGTGTTCAATACTTTCTCCCTGTGTCATTTCATGAAAATGGTGATGTGTTCAATATAGTTTATATAAAAATATGTATGTATGTATGTACACAGACACACACACTATTCAACATGTCTATCTATCTGTCTATCTATCTATCTATCTATCTATCTATCTGAGCAATTCCATGCAAATGTCAACCTTGCTATAAAAAATAATTAGGTTTTCGCCAAAATATTGAAACTGTTTTTGCGTTTTTTGGTGTGTAAGCAAATATTTTACAGTGCTTCAAAAATACTCAAAAATGTCTGTTAATGTTTTCAAACTATTATATTTGATTTACCAAAATCACACAAGTGCCAATTTCACATCTGTCACATCCATAATGAAGAGATGTCACATCTATAACGCAGATTTTTTCCTCATAAATGTAAAAAATGTCAAATAAAATAAAATTAATCATTTTTACTTTCTAGGAAGGCAACTCTTATCCTTTTAATTAGCATTAATTCCTTTGGGTTGTGCAGTTTAATTAACAGAATTTCTATGTTGTATACAGTACACTTGCAGACTTTTTTTGGTCACATTTAATGTTTATTTTCCTCGTTCAAAATCTAAAAATTGTTAACAGATCGATATATTTCTGGTCCTTTAACTCGGTGGTTAACGTTAGTTGTTTTGGAAAATATAAATCGATGTTTCAATATAATGTTAACATACTCTCTTTGTGAATTCAAGAATTGGCGGATGAGTAAACGATGGCAGAATTGAAATTGTGTGATGAACTACCCCTTTAATTATTAAACACAAATTAAAGATAGAAACTTCGAATCTCAAGCAAAACCAAACTTAATTTCTTTCTTTTCTTTTGTAGGTTAAAATATAAAAACAAAAAAGCATTCGTTTACAGTCGTCTTAGCTCATATTTGCGTTACCAAGAGTGTCACTATTCATTCTGGTGGACACTGTATTTTACTGTAAACTGTGGATACTTCAAGTCAACATGTCAGTCAATTACATGACTAATTGGTAGCGTACTGATTACAAATATGCATGAACTTGGAGGATTCTTCTCTTACCTGTAACGTTAGAAAAGTGTCGCAGGCTGCAGGTGTTGGTGAGAGACTCCTGAAAGCGGTAACGTTTTATGGTGTCCTCGTGCTCTCCGTGTCTGGAACAACCGTCAGGAGAACCTTTGGAGCTTTGAGTAATTCGTTACGTAACCGTGATTAATTTAATGTTTTAGTAAGGTAATACAGTCAAAACAACTATAAATGTTTACCGGTTTCTGGCTAATCCATGAATCAGTTTCCTTGTAAGAAACGCTTTTCTTAAAATATATCTAAATCGTAGGGAAGATAACATTTACGTAAAAAATTGCACGTACATGCACTTTAATATTGCTTTGCTAAACACTAAGCAGAACACAGAGCGTAGAAAAGTCCGCAAACTTGACTTCCCAGTTAACTGTTTAACAGAATGATTCGCAGACGTGATTCGTGTTACTTTTCTCCACGCTGATCAGAGCGGACCAATCACAGTTGTCTGAAATTTCAAAATAAAACTTCTTTTACAGACTGAGCTAAACTCTGAACCTCAACTCTGAAAACTGGACTGAGTTTCAATTTACAAGAACTTCTATGTTAAGCTGTTTTGACACAAACTACATTGTAAAAGCACTATATAAATAAACATGAATTGAATTATAATATTAATGAAAAATCATGTTATTTATGACGTCTGGACATAGACATTTGTATAACTGTTGATATTCTACTACATTTATTATATTACATTGTTACATTATCAAAAAATATTATAAGCTGTCGATATTTTGGTAAAAACCAGTATGAATATTTTTCTAAATGATGCAAAATGGTGCATAAATTCTTTTATTAAAATGATAATTTGTGTGTGTGTGTGTGTGTGTGTGTGTGTGTGTGTGTTTTCAGTGATTCTGCTTGTTAGGCACTGTTTAGGACCAATTCTCAATAACATTCTGTGCTTTAAAAGAAAAAATATAGATATTATTTGAGTGTGCTAACCTGTTGAAAATTCAATGTTGATTTTTCAAATCTCCGACTGTTGATTAAATGTTAATTCAATGAAGGTCTGATCTCTGGGTTGAGCTTTTACTAAATCTAAACTTCCAAATTGTATTTTCAAACTACATTAACTTTACATAAAAACTATTCAACTGTAGGCTACTTGTATCTAGGGCTGCAATTTACAATTATTTTAATAATCGATTAATCTGTTGATTATTTTTCGATTAATTGATGGATCGGATAAAAAAAAGAAAAGCATTCATTTCTAACCATTTATTTAAAAAAGCTCATTTCTGAGCTGTTATACTACTACTACTAATAATAATAATAATAATAATAATAATAATAATAATAACAATAAAAAAACAAAGTAGTTTTGTCCTGTTTTCAATCCAAATATCAAAATATTTTTAAATCAAGATAAATACTATACACATGATATAGCATCAGAAATTATGTCTTGTTCTCTAAAAAAACACTTAAAATTAAACGATTGTTTGCTAAAAACAAGTTAAATTACTTGTGAATTGGGTAAGAAAAATAATCTTAATTAGAAGTTTTACCAGTTCACATAAACGTGTAAGTGATCTTGATCTATAACGTGAGATGGTCTACGCCATGTTTACTTGCAGCCGCGCGTTTGCCTCATTCATAAAAACCACAACACGCAAGATTCAGCACGTAAATTCACCAGTACTCACCAAATACATGCATGTTGGTGAACCTAGAGAAGAATAGATTCAACTTTAGTTACTTTCACTATGTGTAATGTGTATCTGATATGAATAAAACACATCTGCAAATTATATTTGAATGGATTGTTAGACTCTCGTGTGTTTTACAAACTCTTAAAAATGTTTTGTTTTACTAGTACTTGTGTGTATTTACTTGTCTAAAACATAAATTAAGCATTAGGTTGCATAATTGTGATAATATGACACGTCTTTCTCAGCGGGGTTAAGTTGGTTTTGTTTTCGAAAAAAACGTAAGAAGACGCACTTTTCCGACGGTCCCCTTACTGAGAGTTCTGCTTAGCGCCAGACACCAAATCTCAGGGTGCTTTCACACCTACACTTTTGTTTCGGAACGTGTCTCGTTTGCCCAGTTAGCGCGGTTCGTTTGGCATATGTGAACAGGGCAATCGCGCTCTGTTCCGCGCCAAAGTAATCGCTCTGAGATCGCTTGAATGAGGTGGTCTCGGCTCGATTGAAACAAACCCTGGAGCGGTTCGATTACAGTGAGAAAGCGATCCGATCCGAGCGCGGTTATATCACAGTGTTTTATGGATATGTAATAGGCATACAGCCATATGAAGAGAGAATTATGAGTATGGCGGGAAATTTCGCGAGTCTCCGGATGCCCGCAAACGAGTGATGATCTCCCGGTAATCTCACGTCTCCCTCCCGGTCCTCAAATAGGCATCGTCGCGCACCCTTTTCTCCCCTCCCCACCGCGTCTCTCCTCAGACACGTCACGCGCGCACCCTGTCAATCACCATCAAACCACCACCTCTCCTGACAGCTTAGCGGGACGCTGCAAAATAAACCCTGACACTCTGACCAATGTAGGGAGAGTTTACTCGCACGTGACTTGTTTTAGCTCTTTTGGTCCGATTAGAAACTTTGCAGTGTGAAAGCAAACCGCTCCAAGAGCAAAGAGCAACAATGTAACAATTTTAATCCCTGTTTCGGAACAACTGAATCGATTCACAGGTGTGAAAGCACCCTCAGTTTTTTCAGTTGCCGCTCTAAATGTAAACGAGCTAACGCTAACTTGTCATGCTTGTCAAGCTGGATAACAAGTAAAACATCAGCACCAGGGACTCAACGGTCCTCACGTCAAAACAACAAGAGTAGGATTCTGTAGATATTTACCAAGCTGTTGCTCCCTTCCTCTTCATCCTTGTTGTCCATGAGAAGCCAAACTCTGTATCAGTGCGCGACAGAGACCGTGTTCACTCCGCTCCACGCTGAACTAAAGTGTTTTTTTAATAATCGAACGACCCTGTCGTGTGACACAACGAATCCATTACGAAATTTGTTGGCAACGTAATCGATTTTTATTGATTTAATCGATTCGTTGTTGCAGCCCTACAATAGCAGACTATAGAACATAGGTCTCATAGTTATGTCAGTAAAGGACACACACACATCGCAAAATGCGGAAGTTTGTTTCTTTCCATTTGGCGTATGTTATTTAATTCCATAACACTCTCACTAGTCTTTACTCCTTATTTGCGTCTAATACCCCAGTTTGTCACGAGGGCAGAAATGTTCATAAATGAATGTGAAACTGCCAAACTGCAGTTAAAGTCGCCCAAAATTACAGGAAACTCATGAAAGCACTTCACGTAAACACCTTAATTATATTATTGTCTATTAGGCAAATAACTGGCAATACAGTGGCGTAGTGGGTAGCATGTTCGCCTCACAACAAGAAGGTCGCTGGGTCGCTGGTTCAAGCCTCGGCTCATTTGGCGTTTCTTGTTGGAGTTTGCATGTTCTCCCTGTGTTCACGTGGGTTTCCTCCGGGTGCTCCGGTTTCCCCCACAGTCCAAAGACATGCGGTACAGGTGAATTGGGTAGGCTAAATTGTCCGTCGTGTATGAGTGTGTGTGTGAATGTTTCCCAGAGATGGGTTGCGGCTGGAAGGGCATCTGCTGTGTAAAAACTTGCTGGATAAGTTGGCGGTTCATTCCGCTGTGGCGACCCCGGATTAATAAAGGGACTAAGCCGACAAGAAATGAATGAGGGCAAATAACTAGACTACAGATGTCCATGTAAGCGTAGTCAGTAGTTTCTTTGAAGTTAGTGGAAGATCCAGAAGGGCATCCTGCTGAATTGATTCAGAAGGGCACTTTTTTTGTCAGACGGTTTGACTTTCATTCATCGTTATTTATTTTAAAAAGCACCCAGTCCATTTTATTTGTGTATGTTTTACTCGAACGCATAAACTCTACAGGTGCCTGATAGTTAAATGTGGAGCTAACATAAATCAGATTCACTCTAGCGAACTGCATCATGCTAGCACGTCAGGTTTGATGTGGTAATATCACAGTAGAAATACACACACGTTCAAAGACTCGTTCTCGCCCCCTACAGTGCAATTTGGCAAGGTATACATCCGCGCTACAATATCAAAGTGAAAGTCATCTGCTTGCGTAGAACAGACCCAGCTCCCAACCCAACTTTGAGAATAGATTAACGGCGATATTTTTTTTTCTCACCCAATATGAGCCTGATCTCACGAGAAAACGTAAGTATTTTACGTTTTGCCAGTTTAGTGGCTAATTCGCATGAATTTGTACCAGTTCAGTCGTACGAAATTGTACGATTTTAAAAAGGAGGCGTGGCACCTAACCCCACCCCTAAACCCAACCGTCATTGGGGGATGAGCAAATCGTACTAAATTGTACAAATTAGATCGTACGAATTCATATGAAAAAGCCACTAAATCAAAAAGTTACGAATTGCCGTAAGATTGTGTTGGTTTATCGCCTTTTTTCATATTTATTTTGTGTCGTCACTTGTAGCTTTATATATACGGGAAGCTTCTGTATCCAAAACATTGTATGTGTGTGAAGCACACTTGTCAATAAACTGATTCTGATTCTGAAAAATAGACGAGTTTGCTGAAGATCTGACAATCGGTCCAGGAACAGACAGCAAACAGTTGCTTAAGGTTGGTGAATTCAATTTAATTCTTAAAGCTGTATGTTTGGAGGAAAGAGGCATTTTGTACAGCAAGGTATCCGAACATACATTCGAAAATAAAAACATACACTGAAAGACCAATAGGGCAGCATGCTCTTACAACACAGCAGTGCTTCAGCACTTACAACAGTGAAAAAGAACAACAACAGCTCTCGCATGGAAACATAAAAAACAAAATCAAAAGATCCGTGTGGTAAAACAATCACATCATGTACGCTCAATGTGTAAACGGCTGACCATCCATGCGGTGCATCTGGTTAGAATTTAAAAGACTGTCTCAGCAGAGGTTAAGACACATGCTCATGTCTCCTGTCTGTAATATGCTATATAAACCAGGAACTGCAGTCCATTTGTGCAGAGATAAACGCTGATGATTTGAACCGAGATCATTACATGTACTTATTATTATGCTTTGTAATGCAACGTCGATTATGGTCTGCGTTACAATTAAATAAATAATCTAAATGCACTCCTCTGCTTTACAAAAACTAAATATTCCTCGCATTTTAGAAGCACCCTGCATCCTTTTAGATCATAACTGAATCTCATATCAATGCCTAACAAAACAAAACTAGTCAATGAACATATGGATAGTGTCTTACTCACAGATATCCTTACAAAGAATGTATGTTCACACAGTATGCTTGCTTGTACTGAGGCTAGCTGTGCTTGGCAATATTTTGAGGAAACGTGTCCTCTTAAAACTCTACAACCCGTACAACGCACAGTCAGGAGAGGGGGGGGGGGGGGGGGCCTGCGTTAAAGCGCTAACACTCTTAAAGAGAGAGTCTTACAGTAACGAAATAAACCACGTCACGAACAGACTGGAAGTATCTACATATCTATCTTAACACGTGAGTTTGGTGGACTCTCTTAAGGCAGCTAGTATCGTGTAGACTTGAAGTGATGATGAATAATCTGATCTTATAAATCGTATGTCTCTGAGAACAAATCCACTACAGCACATACTGTATATATACGTCACCTATAACCTATTGAACCTTAAATACAATCTAAAGGATGATAAAACACAGATTTGCTTCTGAGTGCTGATAGACCTTTGTGTTTTAGTACAAAGATCATGCTGGAAAGCATTTAAAACGTGTGTATATATGTTAACTAAACACAGATTGAAAGAATTAGATGCTTTTGGGGGGTGTAAAACGCTTTGATATTCATGTATATATCGTTTCGTTTTAAATAACAGGCCTTCTTACCTGCTTTCAGTGCAACAATCTAGACGTTCGCTTGAACTTTCTTTCCCTATCTCTCCTTTCTTCTCGAAGCCAAGAGCTTTGGGGGATCTGAGAAACATTAACATTGTCATCTGGATGATAACCAGAGCGTATTACAGCATGACTGTGCATAATAAAACTTTCCTTCAGATATGTGGTGATAAAGTAAGGAGGACGAGGGGGGAACATGCAGCTCTCGTCGCAGATCAGGTCTCCACTTTCCCGAAGGTTCCCTCTGGTGGTCTGTACTGCTTAGGGAAGGTCTTTAGCTGGAGCGAGTTGAAGGCGTATTTGCGGCTGCCCACGTTTTTCATGGTGTTTTCTCGTCGACAGCCCTCACTGTGGGACCGGAGAGGCAATTAAGATTGATACACTGTATAATAAAAGGCTTTTATAAAATAATGGCATTTTTATTGACTCATACAAAGCTTTTTTAAACAACTAAATGCTTTTTTGATTTTGTTAAAATCTTGTTTTCATCTGTAGAAAATATTTGAGAAAAATGCTAATGAAAACTTTTAGGCTGAACACTGCTGTAAATCCAGTCTCACCTGCGCATACAGTCGAGGGCCTGCGTGAAGACCTGCGGGGCCATGCAGTGCTCACTCTGGAGGATCTGACACTGCTCCAGTGTCACCGACATGGCCGTCCGATCCTTTGCACTCTTGCAGCTGGTCACCCGCACACCATTCAGACGCCGACAAATCTTGAAACGAGTAAGGAAAAAATAATCATTTGAATTCAGATGAATATCTGCCGCCCTGAGGTTTAACGCATTTATTATGAAGGGACAAAAGCTACAGGGGTTTCCCCAGTTGGAGGAATTATTATGTTATAACATATACAGTTGAAGTCAGAATTTTTAGCCCCCCTGAATTATTTGCAAAAATGAGTAAATAAATAAATAAATACATATTAAATACATAAATACAATAAAAAGAAATCCATTTATAAAAATTAAATAAATTAAATAATTACAATAAAAATAAATCCATAAATAAAATTAAATATATACAATAAATATTAATAAATAAAAATGAGTAAATAAATAAATAAAACCATATTAAATACATAAATACAATAAAAAATAAATCCATTAATAAAAAATAAATAAATAAAATAATTACAATAAAAATGAATCCAAAAATAAAAATAAATACAATACAATAAAATAAATAAATGAAAATAAATAAGAAGATAAATAAATACATCAAATACAATACAAATGAATCCATTAATAAAAAAATAATACATAAAATAATTACAATAAAATAACTAAAATATTTTATTTATAATAACTAAATAAATAAAAACAATAAAAATAAATAAATACAAAAAATAAAAATAAAATAATAAAATAATTACAATAAAAAAATCCATACAAATTTAATTCAATAAAAAAATTAATACAATAATAATAATAATAATAAAATAATAATAATAAATACACAAATTAAAATAAATACAATAAAAATAAATACATAAATAAATAAACAAACAATTGAATTAATAAATTAAAGAGCCCCTATTATACATTAAAAAGGGTCATATTTTGGTTTTGGGGGTCTTCAACAACAGGCTAATAAGCATGCAAGGTCAAAAAACACTTTCATTTTCTTATAATATGCAGTTACTTTTACCTAATTATCCCAACAACTCCCATACGATTCGTTCAGCGATTCATTTGTTCCCAAACCCCTCCTTAGCGTGAAGCTAATCTGTGCTGATTTGACTGATGACGCAGTCTGTTGCGGTTGGTAGACATTGTTTAGCACGAGACGAAATGCCTACCACAGCTTATCAACAATATTGAAGTAGAGTGCATAAGGTGTGTCTCCCGAGCTCACAAATGCATTTAAATCTGTAAACAAAGTGGCATGCATTGGATTTTCAACGTGGCATTAGACGCGATATGAGAATATAAAGAGTTAACCAGACACAGTACAAGCGGTTACACAGTTAAAATACTTAATTTGAAAGCTAGAGAAAACAAGGAGGCAACCATTTTAATCGCACTTACTTACAGTTGTGAAATGGGGGAAAAAACTGATCCATGATCCATGTACTGATAAAGTTCCTGTCGTGCTCTGACAAAGTCCCTTTCATAAAAAAACTCAAGCGCTGGTTTTTCACAGTTTCATCTTTGGGTACAGAAAATAACACTAACTTTCCCCTCACATTTCCAATAATATCCAGCTGAGCACAGCGTCTACGTGACTTTATTCAATTGAGATCTGCTTCAATGTTTGCTCCAATATTTCACTTCACTTCACATCAGCTGTGTTACACACTACATTGAAGGTCTTTTAAAAAACCCATAATAGGGGCTCTTTAAAATAAAATAAAATAAAATAAAATAAAATAAAATAAAATAAAATAAAATAAAATAAAATAAAATAAAATGAATCAAAATAAAATAAAATTAAATAAAATAAAATAAAATTAAATTAAATTTAAAAAAAGGTCTTTTAAAAAACCCATAATAGGGGCTCTTTAAAATAAAATAAAATAAAATAAAATGAATCAAAATAAAATAAAATAAAATAAAATAAAATAAAATAAAATAAAATAAAATAAAATAAAATAAAATAAAATAAAATAAAATTTAATTTAATTTAATTTAATTTAATTTAATTTAATTTAATTTAATAAACTAAAATTAAATTAAATTAAATTAAATTTCATTTCTTCCTAGTCATTTTATTAAATATGATGAAAATGAAACATCAGATGTATCACTGTACCTCTGCTGCCTGCAACAGGATGTCCACGTTCTTGCTCTTCCTGGCATTGATATTTTGACTGAGGAACCGGAGAAGCTCAGGCACACAGTTTTGACTGCGAGAGCGTGGCAAACCTATGGAGGAGGCATTCAAGAGGTGAGGACTAAAAAATAACCCACCTACTAATGTTTCATAAAGGAACAAGAGGGATACAGTAGAGCTTTCAGAACTCACAGTCTTCAGGCAGCACTTCTTTAAACTGGTCATAATAAGAGGTAAGACGAGCGAGACTCTCCATATTCACGACTTCCTGCAGTGACGTGTCTCCAAACCTAAACAAACGTGGTTAAGTTTAACATTACACTTAATTATCTGTATTTCAATTACCACTGTGTTTGATATATAACCTATTGTAGCTTCAGGTGTAATTTTTCGCAGCATCACAGAGTAGAAGTGCTTGTGTGCAGCTGGCTAATGAGAGATCTGTAATCTGGGTCTATAAAAGGTGTTTATTGTGTTTGAACTGTTTTTGATGATGGCACACTTTCATTGCTGCCGGATCTGGCAAGGGCGGCCGAGAGTGATGAAAGGCTGGAAAGGAAATGCTGTGTGGAAAGCCTTTATATGGAGAAGATTGGGCATGTTTTAAGCAAGTTACTTAAATATAGGTAGTTTAAGATCATTTGTGGTCTAATGTCTTCAGACTGTGTCACCGCTTGAGAGAGGGTCTGTGCCTGAAACTTCGCTCTGACATGATCGACCGTCATAGTAGCAATTCAATTCAAGCTTACATGCATTACAATCAAATTAAGTTAAAGTTACAAGCAAAAGTAATTATATATAACATAGTTAACCTGCAGCTTTATAGCATATAGGTGAAGTCTATGTAAAGAGTATTTGTGTATTAGTTGTATGTGTTGTCCTGGAAGTCCTAGATCAGGGATGGCCAACCCTGTTCCTGGAGAGCCACCTTCCAGCAGATTTCAGTTGCTACCCATATCAAACACACCTGAATCAATTAATTAGGACCTGAACACCACGTGATAATTACAGGCAGGTGTGTTTCATATGGGTTGCAACTGAAATCTGCAGGAAGGTGGCTCTCCAGGAACAGTTTTGGCCACCCCCTGTCCCAGATAGTTGGCATCATCTCTTCACAGGTCATATTCAGCTTGGAACACGACTTCATGTGTACTTTCTGTCTTGTGGCCTTGTATTGTGTGTGTATAATCCATAGCGTGTCCCATATGTTAATTTTTTTATGCTCTGAAGTGTACTCATCACATCTTAATGCATTGTGTGGCGAAGCCCACACTGCTGTAGACTTCAAACAACTGGAACATAAGCTTCATTTTAGGGTAGACTACAGCTTTAAATCACATTAAAAAGTTATGTCCCAACCCCTCCAGCTTCTTTCTGATTTTTGTGGACTAAAATGATTTATGCAGCAATATTTAAGTAGTTTTTTGGGGGTTGGCTGTGAAATGATAGGACAATAAACAATCTTGTCAACTTTATATTTCTATTTTTGACCTCGAGAACCAGTGGAGTCCACACTGCTGCAACCTCCACACAATTTGCAACCCAAAAGTAAAAAAAAAAAAAAAGAAAATGCACACAAAAACTTGGTTTCATTTTTCCACTGTGGTGATAATAACGGAACAGAGGGAACTTCTTGGGTCTTCACGAGACATGATCTGAATAACATATGGGTTGGTGTCTGTTCCATGCAGCATATTTAAGCGTTGGCAGATTTAGGCACTTTCAGTTGTGAGCGATCGCCCAGGGGTGCGTTTACACAAACCATTGTTAGCCAACTAAAGTCGCAAGTTCCGTCATTACAAACATAGCTTGTTGATTTACCGTTTCCCAAATCTGTCGCTCAAATGAACATTCGCAAACTTGAGCACTCGCAACTACAGCTCTGGATAAGTCCTGTCTGTGTTCTATTCCCACTTATCCCCCCTATGTCCTATTCATTTAGAACATTTTAACATTCAAATCGGGGCTGTGCAATTAATCGAAAATCGGATTTCAATTTTGGCTTTAAACGATTATTATTATACAAAAAATATTAGAGGAAATACTGTTAAAATTCCTTGCTCTGTTAAACATAAATTGGGAAATATTTATTTAAAAAAAAAATTCTCAGGAGCGCTAATCATTTTGACTTCAACTGATAATCGTTTTAAATAATCGTGATTACAATTATGACCAAAATAATCGTGAATAGGATTTTTCCCAAAATCAAGCAGCCCTAATTCAAATTTGGAATTATTAAGAGTAAAAAAGCATTAAGGTCATCTTTCTTAGGTGTAATTTGCTTTCAAACTATTTTTACAGTTCAGTTTTAGCGATCTTCATGTTTACAACTGTGCTCTCTTCGCAGTGCACTTTGAAAACGTTGGTGTCATTTTGAACACAGCCTCATGGTGAAAGCTACATGTGACCTATAATTTAAAAGTGGAATTTATGTCACGCCACCAAAGCTTGTGAAAACAAAAAGCATACGTTAATTATTTTATTTATAGTGGATTATTTATTAAGTAGCTGTACTGTATATGACATGGGCCTGCTGGTTAGAACTGGTCAGCATATGTGTGCGAACAGTGTAATTTAGCAAATTGTAATCTGGCTTTGTTGTTGATTCTGGCTTGTTGATTTTCCCATGTTGTCACACAGGGAAGCAGTGTGTTTGAGGTTTTCCTTAAATACTATTCTACAGTTGTGCCTCCAATTAACTCAAATGTTGTCAATTAGCCAATCAGACACTTCCAAAACCTTGACACCATCATCTGAGCTTTTTCAAAGGCTTAATAATCTTATTGTATGTAAACTTGACTTTCAAGAAAAAGTTATAACAATTTCTCCCAAAAAATCTCTCTCATTATTCTGCTATTAAGCATAACCGAAACAAATGTAATAATCCTAACATACCTAACAGAGAAAAAGTTTAGTCACATTAACATCTGACTTTTTTAAATGCTTATGTGCCTTTGTACACGGTGTATGTAAACTTCTGGTTTCAACTGTATAATGTAAACAAACCTATAGATAATCTGAGGTTATCCCGGGACAATGCGATGAGGTGTCGAGTGTGTGTTGAAATAAGTCTGATTAATTAATCACGGTATGTCCATTTTTAATCTAAAACCCACTGAAAGTGCTTGCAAGTCTTTAGCTCTGCCCTCTGACATACCTCCAGGAGCTTAGAGAGAATCAGAACATTTCTTAACATTTCTGTACAAATCTGATAAGCTCAAAACTTTTGAGAGATATCATGGATGCAAAGCAAGATTAAGATGAGACTGGCAAAGACTTACTTCTCGGCTAGCGTTTGCTGCTCATTGATTCCTACATTGAATAAGACTGGCTGAACGCGCAGCAGCATGCCATTCTGGATCTCTCGTGGCAGCGCATCAAACATGACTCCCGGTAGGGGAATGCGCACATTAAAGCCGTCTCTGTTGCCCGTGATGACCGGCAGCATGTCGGGACTGAAGCTGGAGGTGGCTTGGGTAATTTTAAAGGTGACGTTGCGAAGGTCCATGACTCCTACACTCATGTCCTCCAGCATGGCCAGCTCTTCTCCTTTAAGGGGACAGAACTTAAAAGTTAGAGTTGACACATTCAGATTCATTCAAAGCCATGGAAAAGTTAAAAATGGAAGGTGAGCTGTGTTTGTGTTATTACCATAGGTGCTCAGGAGACCCTCAAACTGGACCAGCAAGCCGATAGTGTGGAGCTGTCTGAGGAAGCCACTGTCACTGAGACAGTTCCTCAGCTTTACCACAAACCCACAGATCAGGGCCGTCAGCTGAGGAGGGACGCAGGATTGTTTTTACAAATTAGTGAAATTATAGTTTACAGTCAGCTAAGGAAATGTCTATTCACTGGATAAAGTAGTAGAGATGGACTGATGAACGAACGGATGGAAATAATCTTTAATATAGTTGAGGTAAACGAAAAAAAAAGACTTAAAATAAACAAAATACAATACTATTTAAAAATTAAGTACTATTGTGCAATCTAAATTTTACTTTTTAAAAACAAAACTAAGCGAGGCAGTGGCGCAGTAGGTAGTGCTGCCGCCTCACAGCAAGAAGGTTGCTGGTTTGAGCCTCGGCTGAGTCAGATGGCGTTTCTGTGTGGAGTTTGCATGTTCTCCCTGCGTTCGCGTAGGTTTCCTCCGGGTGCGTATCTAAATATATATCTTACTTTATATACATTTAATTATCTACATTTATACATTTATTTATAGCCTAAAGTGACATCTAAAGGCTTAACTAGGTTAATTAGATTAACTAGGCAGATTGTTTTAATTAGGCAAGTTATTGTATAATGATGGTTTGTTCTGTAGACTATCACAAAAAATATAGCTTAAATGGGCTAATAATTTTGTCTTTAAAATGGCTTTAAAAAAATTTAAAACTGCTTTTATTCTAGCCGAAATAAAACAAATAAGACTTTCTCCTGAAGAAAAAATATTATCAGACATACTGTGAAAATTTCCTTGCTCTGTTAACCATCATTTGGGAAATACTTAAAACGAAAAAAGAAAAAATCAAAGGGGGGCTAATAATTCTGACTTCAACTGTATATTCCAATTGTCAATAAAATGACCGATGCATCTCTTTAATGTGATCTTGTACTAACCGTCTGACAGAAAACCACATCTCTGCGGTACTGAAGTGATAAACTCATGGCGATAGTCGGAGCGCTGTCTTGCATCAGCAGAAACACCATGGACTTCTTGGCTTTGTCGCTCATCATGGCCACACACTCATTGAGAGTGGTCAGGAGAGGATACAGAGCTTCACTCCATTCACCTGAGCCACAAACGCATAGAGCTAATACCAGCAATGTTCAGAAAACTGTACGGCATGAACACACACACACACACACACATTAGCAGAAAGAGGCTTACCAGGAGAGGAGCCTTCAACACTGGCATTATCTAAACAGGGATAGATATGGAATAAGTGCTGTTTAGACAATCAGAACTATTTTACTATAGCCAAAATTACCCGAACATCTCATAAAAACTTATGAAGTCATTTTTGGTTTGACAACATAAAAGTACAATATATAGGTATGAACAAATACAGTATCAAAACATTAGTAACTCCCACCAGGAATTATGCTGCATTCCATTCACCTCAGAAAAACGGCAAATAACTTGTTTTAGGGTGCTTTCACACCTGTGAATCGATTCAGTTGTTCCGAAACAGAGATTACAATTGTTACATTGTTGCTCTTTGCTCTTGGAGCGGTTCGCTTTCACATTGCAAAGTTTCTAATCGGACCAAAAGAGCTAAAACAAGTCACGTGCGAGTAAACTCTCCTCACATTGGTCAGAGTGTCAGGGTTTATTTTGCAGCGTCCCGCTCAGCTGTCAGGAGAGGTGGTGGTTTGGTGGTGATTGACAGGGTGCGCGCGCGTGACGTGTCTGAGGAGAGACGCGGTGGGGAGGGGAGAAAAGGGTGCGCGACGATGCCTATTTGAGGACCGGGAGGGAGACGCGAGATTACCGGGAGATCATCACTCGTTTGCGGGCATCCGGAGACTCGCGAAACTTCCCGCCATACTCATAATACTCTCTTCATATAGCCGTAAGCCTAATACATATCCATAAAACACTGTGATAAAACCACGCTCGGATCGGATTGCTTTCTCACTGCAATCGAACCGCTCCAGGGTTCGTTTCAATCGAGCCGAGACCACCTCATTCAAGCGATCTCGGAGCGATTACTTTGGCGCGGAACAGAGCGCGATTGCCCTGTTCACATATGCCAAACGAACCGCGCTAACTGGGCAATCGAGACACGTTCCGAAACAAAAGTGTAGGTGTGAAAGCACTCTTAGTTTTGTTTTAGTTTAAGTCAGACTGAAGCAATGCTAACACTGTGTAAAATTAATTATTTTCTACAAGGATATTTTAATGACAAGGATTTTTTATTCTCAATTTCCACCTGGGGATACTCATCCCGAGGCCCCGAGTATACAGCGCCACTGATTCGATTCAAGACCAGTGATAAGATGATCCTAATGCATCAGCCAATGCATGATCCAAATGCATCCTGAGCAGCTGCTTCGGTGGTCATGGAGGTGTGGAGAGCATGCGACTGATTCCTGTGACACTCCAGGGACATATGAGTCTTCGCTAAGGTCTAGCTTCCAGCCTTCAGTGCCTAAACTGCAGCTCTGCACAAGACGTTTGGCCAGTGGAGAAATGGTCGTGCCTAACTGAGCCTGGTTTCTCTTGAGGTTGAGGCTGTCGCCACTGGCTGGCATCTGTAGAGCTGCTCATTGATGGGTTTGCTCTTCAGTGTTTGGACTCTCAGTATTGATTATTAAACCACACTAAGCTGAAACAAACTGAACTGAACTTATAAATAAATACTGAACTGACACTGTTTCAATTTACTATGATCTTCTATGTGAAGCTGCATTGACACAATCTAAACTGTAAAAGCGCTATACAAATAAAGATGAAGTAAACTGAATTGAATCTGATGCATTTTTACGACAGTTTAATTCAGTGGATATTTTCATCCGACCATAACAAAAGGGTAGTAAGTCTGTATCATTGAGTTCTTTAAAAATTTCTAAGCATTTTCTCAAAATATGAGTCAAAATAAGATTTGTAACCAAAAACCATTCTGCTAGCTGAAACAGAAAAACTTATGGCCAATTGAAGACTCAAACTCATCCCAGAGTGGATGAAAATATCCCCAACAGTACATGAGGGTTAATAATAAAAATCCTAATTTCAAAACTGATGCGTATTACCTTTGACCAATATTTAAACTGTCTATCTTAACTATCTGAAGCATTAAAGTGTGACAAATATTGACCAAAAATGAAATCTGTAAGGGGGCAAACACTTTTTCACACCACTGATTTTTCACAATACACTCGCTGATCAGGTAAATCGCACATCCGCTTTGAATGGAGTGCAGCATTTTCAAAAGAGGACGTAAAACTGAAAGCATCTGTATTACATGTGAGCAGGTTTTGAAAGAGAAACCAAAGGAGAACCTACAGGAGTGAGTGTTAGGAGTGGATGGGCATGCAGGGTTCAGAAAGGGTGAGGAGGATGGTGATAATGACGGAGCTGATAAGGGGTGTGACGAGGAAGGAGACGAGAGCCCGTCACCAGGGTTGATCCAGAATGCATTGCCCTTGCTACCTCTCTTGCTGGTGTCGGCCTGCTGGTCCGACAGAAACACGTCTTCGCTGCTGTCGCTGTGCATGCGCTCTCGGGTCAGCAGACGGTCCACACAGCGGATCACGCACTCCAGACTCTTGTCCACGTTCAGCCAGATCTTCTCCTGAAGCAGAAATATTATACATATATATGTATGCATGTATGTATGCATGTATGTATGTATGTATGTATGTATGTATATATAAATATATATATATATATATATATATATATATATATATATATATATATATATATAATAAGTTGTTATATATATATATTGTCATATATAATCCTGCTGCTTGGAGGATGTGCAACTCACCCATTCCTCCTCCTGCCATGTTAAGTTGACAGACGCTCTGTTCCCCTTTCCACTCCATTTGGCCTGTGGAGAGCCCTGGTCGTTCCTCAGCACCACACGCTCAGTGTCATGGGCGGACGGAGAGCCTCTGGAAGCGATGAACTCTGGCCGGGCAGCACTCAGAGCCTGAATAGCTGTGGTTAACAGCTTACTGTCACACACTGTCACCAGCTGCCGCGTCTGAGACAGACACAGAGGATGAACACACTCATTAAGTAGATCTGAATAGCTCTTTACTAAAGAGAGAAACACTTTACAATAGACTCTTTTCACGTTCCCAGGGTTCGGGTTCTTGGAATATTCTTTTAATAACTTCTATAGTGGAGAATAAAAAATTACACGATCAGATTTATTTGTTTTTATTTATATATTTATTTTTATTTTATTAATTTTTGTCATTAGTTTACATCTTATATTTAATGTTTATATAAATTAAGTAGTCCGTTTTTAAAACTAGGTTGAACTCTTCCCTTTTTGATTTGGCATTTTATCAGTGGGAACTCTTTGTTTTAGCTCTAATTTTATATCTTTCTTTTTGTGATTTGTATTGTGCAGCACATTTGTCAACCTTTGGTCATGTTTAATAGTGCTGTATAAATGACTGACATTATGTAGGTAGTCTTTCAGATACTAATATGAATTAGTGATATTAAAATAATTAAACTCAAAGAAATAAATGGAAAATGATCAAGAACTATTGGCTCATCTCAGGATGAGAAAACTCCGCTACGAATAATAATGATAAACCGATGTGTCATCTTAGCACTTGCAGTTTTGCGCTACGTCGCCGATTTTAATCTCCATGTGCACCCACTGACAGGTAAAATCTGCTTCTCTCTCTTTCAAGTTCAAAGCAAATTTGAATGCCAAAGCATGTTAGATATCTACATAAAATATAGCCTAATAACATCATCAAATTAATAAAATAATCAGAAAATGAGAAGTAAATGACATAAAAAGGAGTAAAAACAGACAATATCTCTAAAAATGATTACAAAATAAAACGTGTAGATTATTTAAATTAGGAAAATGCGTTGATTAACCATTACTAATGGTGTACAAATATTTTGCCAATGTAGACCAGTCATTTCGTCTTCTCCGAGAATATAGTAAAGTTGTTCTGCGTCGTTTAGAATCAAGAATAATTATTGAATATTTCTCTCATTCTCGCGAAGGTGCGTGTACAGTCAGCTGCAAATCCAGGCGAAAGTTGACTTAAGTAAAAAGGTGATTCAAAAACAAATATGATCAACCACATATTTAGAAAAAATAAATACATTTAGGCGATTTAGAAACCCAGGCCAGACTAATTTTTTAAGTGCCAAAAAAGAAGCATCTCTGTGGGTCTGCAGAGCACATGAGACTGTCTGTGGGAGTGTTGACAGGTCTCACCCACACAGAACAAAACGGATAAATGAGAGAAGATTTTCCACTACTTAATCGATTGCGGATGTTTGGTTATATTGGGCAGATACAAAATAGTGTAAAATGATGATGATAATGATCATAGTAAAACAAAAAAAGCGTGTCACTACATATTCTACATATTCACTACATATCCTACATATTCACTACATATTCTACATATTCACTACATATTCTACATATTCACTACATATTCTAAATATTCACTACATATTCTACATATTCACTACATATTCTACATATTCACTACATATTCTACATATTCACTACATATTCTACATATTCACTACATATTCTAAATATTCACTACATATTCTACATATTCACTACATATTCTACATATTCACTACATATTCTAAATATTCACTACATATTCTAAATATTCACTACATATTCTACATATTCACTACATATTCACTACATATTCTACATATTCACTACATATTCTAAATATTCACTACATATTCTACATATTCACTACATATTCTAAATATTCACTACATATTCTAAATATTCACTACATATTCTACATATTCACTACATATTCTACATATTCACTACATATTCTACATATTCACTACATATTCTAAATATTCACTACATATTCTAAATATTCACTACATATTCTACATATTCACTACATATTCACTACATATTCTACATATTCTACATATTCACTACATATTCTACATATTCACTACATATTCTACATATTCACTACATATTCTACATATTCACTACATATTCTACATATTCACTACATATTCTAAATATTCACTACATATTCACTACATATTCACTACATATTCTACATATTCACTACATATTCTACATATTCACTACATATTCTACATATTCACTACATATTCTACATATTCACTACATATTCTACATATTCACTACATATTCTACATATTCACTACATATTCTACATATTCACTACATATTCTACATATTCACTACATATTCTACATATTCACTACATATTCTAAATATTCACTACATATTCTACATATTCACTACATATTCTACATATTCACTACATATTCTACATATTCACTACATATTCTAAATATTCACTACATATTCTAAATATTCACTACATATTCTACATATTCACTACATATTCACTACATATTCTACATATTCACTACATATTCTAAATATTCACTACATATTCTACATATTCACTACATATTCTACATATTCACTACATATTCTACATATTCACTACATATTCTACATATTCACTACATATTCTAAATATTCACTACATATTCTAAATATTCACTACATATTCTACATATTCACTACATATTCACTACATATTCTACATATTCACTACATATTCTACATATTCACTACATATTCTACATATTCACTACATATTCTACATATTCACTACATATTCACTACATATTCTAAATATTCACTACATATTCACTACATATTCACTACATATTCTACATATTCACTACATATTCTACATATTCACTACATATTCTACATATTCACTACATATTCTACATATTCACTACATATTCACTACATATTCTACATATTCACTACATATTCTAAATATTCACTACATATTCTACATATTCACTACATATTCTACATATTCACTACATATTCTACATATTCACTACATATTCTACATATTCACTACATATTCTTGGGCGGCAGCATTCTGAATAGCTCATTACTTAGTAGAAAATCACTTTACAATAGACTCTTTTCACGTTCCCAGGGTTTGGGTTCTTTAAATATTCTTTCAATAACTTCTATAGTGGAGTTTACATCTTATATTTAATGTTTATATAAATTAAGTAGTCCGTTTTTAAATCTAGGTTGAACTCTTCCCTTTTTGATTTGACATTTTATCAGTGGGAACTCTTTGTTTTAGCTCTAATTTTCTATCTTTCTTATCATGATCATAATCACAATTATTTTGGTCATAATTGTAATCACGATAATTCAAAACGTATTCAGTTGAAGTCAAAATGATTAGTGCTCCTGAGAATGAGTTTTTTATAAATATTTCCCAAATTATGTTAAACAGAACAAGGAGTTTTAACAGTTTTTCCTATAATATTTTTTCTTCTATTTGTGTTATTTTAGCTAGAATAAAAGCAGGTTTAAATATTTTGAAAACAATTTAAGGTCAATATTATTAGCCCCCTTAAGCAATATATATTTTTAAATGTCTGCGGAAGAAACTACTGTTATACAATGACTTCCCGTATTACTCTAAGCCTTTGAACTGCACTTTAATCTGAATGTTTGTATTTTGAAAAATATCTAGTAAAATATTATGTACTGTCATCATAGCAAAGATAAAAGAAATCAGTAATTAGAAATGACATATCAAAACTATTATGCTCAGAAATAAGTAAAAAATAAATAAATAACTTCTTTCCATAAAACAGAAATTGGGGAGGAAAAGGGTTGCTAATATTTAGGAGGGCTAATAATTCTGACTTCAAGTGTATATATACAGTTATTTTCCACCCTGCAAAGGAAAGAGAAATAAATACAATAGAATAACAATATTAAACAAACTGTGCTTTACGCATCTTCACTGTAAGAAAAACACTTTAGCTACAAAAGTCTTCAGTCAAAAGCAGCGAGGGTTTTCTCGTTGTGTTTGTTTAATAATGATAAAAGCTCTCGGCAGCAGGAATATTTCTCGCTGTCACTTTAATGGTTTCTCTTTCACATCTTTTGATCCTCAACTTGTTTGTTTATTACACAAATGAGGGTTAATATGAATAATCACTAAACACCGCGTTTTGACACCTATTTGACCATTAATGCGCTCACGTTAATATGATTTTAGATGTCTGCGCTCCTCTGCTCGTCTCAGTGTGCGAATGACAAATGCTGACCAGCCGCATGCTTCTGACTGCGTGTGCATGCTGCACACACACATAAGCACGTGCTCTTTCGCGCTTTTAAGAGCAAAACGTGTACAACTGGAAAGTGGCGGTATATGATGCAATAAACGTTTATATCGATTAAAACTTTTTTATAATCGTTTGAAGCCGAAATCGAAATCGGATTTTCGATTAATTGCACAGCCCTATACAATAGTGGAGCATTTTTATGCCTTTTTCTACCTCAACACTTATTCCTCTCCCGCGCCCCCCTTGTGGACCCCAGGTTGGGAACCACTGGTCTACAGAACAAACCATCATTATACAATAACTTGCCTAATTACCCTAACCTGCCTAGTTAACCTAATTAACCTAGTTAAGCCTTTAAATGTCACTTTAAGCTGTATAGAAGTGTCTTGAAAAATATCTAGTCAAATATTATTTACTGTCATCATGACAAAGATCAAATAAATCAGTTATTAGAAATGAGTTATTAAAACTATTATCTTTAGAAATGTGTTGAATAAAATCTTCTCTCCATTAAACAGAAATTGGGGGGAAAAAATAATTCAGGGGGTGCTAATAATTCTGACTTCAACTGTATATATATATTTAAGAAATTGTGCTCAGAATATCTTTATTTTGTTTTGTTTTGTCAAAAACTTTAATGATTTAAATTATTCCTGACACAAAATAGAGAAATACACAACTCAAAATTTTTGAGAAATAGTTTAACTTCTCTAATAAGTGCATTTTATTATGATTCATTTATTTATTTTAACATGGACGTTGACGTTTTTGTTAGGCAAATGTCATAAACCTTTATTTTGACAGCACTGTGTCTTTTCTTTTGCCAGTCCTGAAAACATCAGTGCCTCAGTATTAAAGTCTTCAGTGTCTGTTTAACAAATCTGACACCATTTACATTTACTTATTTAAATGAAATTAACTGTGTAGTAATTCATTGGCTATTTTAACTGTTAGTTCATCAGGCAAAGCTCAGCATTCTTTCACAGAGTTGTATAGGGTGATGGACCAGAAAAGAAAGAAGTTTTGTTTTTAAATCTTTATTGTGTATATTCTTGACAAATTAAGTACAGTTGAGGTCAGAATTATTAGCCCCTTTTGGATGTTTTCTTCCTTTTTAAATATTTCTCAAATAATGTTTAACCGAGGAAGGAAATTTTCACAGTATGTGTGATAATCTTTTTTCTTCTGGAGAAAGTCTTATTTGTTTTATTTCGGCAAGAATAAAAGCAGTTTTTAATTTAAAAAAAAACATTTTAAGGTCAAAATTATTTGCCCCTTTAAGCTATATATTTTTTGATAGTCTACAGAACAAATTATCATTATACAATAACTTGCCTAATTACCCTAACCTGCCTAGTTAACCTAATCAACCTAGTTAAGCCTTTAAATGTCACTTTAAGCTGTATAGAAGTGTCTTGAAAAATATCTAGTCAAATATTATTTACTCTCATCATGACAAAGATCAAATAAATCAGTTATTAGAAATGAGTTATTAAAACTATTATCTTTAGAAATGTGTTGAATAAAATCTTCTCTCCATTAAACAGAAATTGGGGGAAAAAAATAATTCAGGGGGTGCTAATAATTCTGACTTCAACTATATATATATATATTTAAGAAATTGTGCTCAGAATATCTTTATTTTGTTTTGTTTTGTCAAAAATTTTAATGATTTAAATTATTCCTGACACAAAATAGAGAAATACACAACTCAAAATTTTTGAGAAATAGTTTAACTTCTCTAATAAGTGCATTTTATTATGATTCATTTATTTATTTTAACATGGACGTTGACGTTTTTGTTAGGCAAATGTCATAAACCTTTATTTTGACAGCACTGTGTCTTTTCTTTTGCCAGTCCTGAGAACATCAGTGCCTCAGTATTAAAGTCTTCAGTGTCTGTTTAACAAATTTGACACCATTTACATTTACTTATTTAAATGAAATTAACTGTGTAGTAATTCATTGGCTATTTTAACTGTTAGTTCATCAGGCAAAGCTCAGCATTCTTTCACAGAGTTGTATAGGGTGATGGACCAGAAAAGAAAGAAGTTTTGTTTTTAAATCTTTATTGTGTATATTCTTGACAAATTAAGTACAGTTGAGGTCAGAATTATTAGCCCCTTTTGGATGTTTTCTTCCTTTTTAAATATTTCTCAAATAATGTTTAACCGAGGAAGGAAATTTTCACAGTATGTGTGATAATCTTTTTTCTTCTGGAGAAAGTCTTATTTGTTTTATTTCGGCAAGAATAAAAGCAGTTTTTAATTTAAAAAAAAACATTTTAAGGTCAAAATTATTTGCCCCTTTAAGCTATATATTTTTTGATAGTCTACAGAACAAATTATCATTATACAATAACTTGCCTAATTACCCTAACCTGCCTAGTTAACCTAATCAACCTAGTTAAGCCTTTAAATGTCACTTTAAGCTGTATAGAAGTGCCTTGAAAAATATCTAGTGAAATATTATTTACTGTCATCATGACAAAGATAAAATAAATCAGTTATTAGAGATGAGTTATCAAAACTATTATGTATAGAAATGTGTTGAAAAAATCTCTCTGTTAAACAGAAATTGGGGGAAAAAATAAACAGGGTGGCTAATAATTCAGGGGGTAATAGTTCTGACTTCAGCCTGTCAATCAAACTGGACATGACAATCTCAGCGAGCTCATGACAGATTTCTGTGCAATATGCATGATCAGACAGACAATAAACAAACTGCAAGTGGTCCTGACCTTGTCAGTGAGGATTGCGAGGGTCCTCTCCAATGCATTTGTAGAGCGTTCTTTAGCAGCGCGGGACAGACGCTCAGTGTAGTAGCTGACCTGCGTCTTCAGAGTGTTGATATGAGAAATGATTTCTTTCGCTTTCAGCACATCCTGCGGCTGGTAGCGCATGGAGAGAGGAGCTGACTCTCCAACACTGAAACAAGACATACCATTAACAACAAAACAAAAACACATTTCACCATTTATTATCACTTGCCAAGTTACACAAACAGAGACTGCACTGCAGATGAGATGTGTGATACACAAGCACACACAGAGAAATACAGTTGAAGTCAGAATTATTAGTCCCCCGTTCTGGCATATTTTTCAAAGGGGCCACAATATCAAACCATGAGCAAAATTTTAAATTCTTTTACAGAACTTATTTAACACCAGTTCGTTTAAATAAGATATTCCCTAATGTTTCTCAGTGTTGTTTTAAGTGCAAATCCAATGTTGGTACTGTGATGCATGTATTCTGGGACTGTGACATGATTAAGACATACTGGAAAGAAATTCACAAATTAGTTCAGAAGATTATAGGTAAATCTTTGGCTCTTTCTCCAGCTGTTTATCTTCTGAATTGTAAAACTGCTCTACAACTTAGTCATGGACTAGAATCTGTGTTACACTTTTGTACATATCTTGCAAGAAAATGTATTCTTTTGCTGTGGTCCTCTCCTAACATTCCTTCTGTCAATATGTGGATAAATCAGGTTGCCATTTTCTTACCCTTGGAAAAACTGACTTGTGACTTGCGTCAGAAATCTGATGATTTCTGGCATATCTGGAATCCTCTATGGGAGTTTTTGGAGAATGTATCTTGATTTTTATTTAATTTTTATTTTAATTTATTAATTTTTTGTTAATTTTACCCTTCACAAAAGACTTGAATTATTAGCAGATGGACAATTGTATAATAGATGGCTATATTATTGTATATGATGACATGAAACACCTATACCACTGTTCTGTCATTGTAAATCTTTAAAAAAAAAAAAAAAGAATTATTAGTCTCCCTAAATTTTTAGCCCGTTTATTTTTTTCTCCATTTTCTGATGGAGATATTTTCTCAGCACATTTCTAAACAAAATAGTTTTAATAACACATTTCTAATAACTGATTCATTTTATATTTGCCATGATGACAGTAAATAATATGTGACTATTTGACTAATATTTCAAGACACTTCTATACAGCTTAAAGTGACATTTAAAGACTTAACTAGGTTAATTAGGTTAACTAGGCAGGTTAGGGTAATTAGGCAAGTTATTATATAATGATGGTTTGTTCTGTAGACTATCGGAAAAATATATAGCTTAAAGCAGGGTTCTTACACTTTTTCCAACTTTAAATTAAGCATTTTCAAGGTGCATTTTTTTCAGCACCTAAAAACCACAATAAATTACATTTATAATTGGTATATGTACTTTTTCACATTTAAGTCCATTGTGCTAATTTGAAAAGCACAATATGACATTTCAACTTAAATTATTGAATAATCTGCACTATAGATTTATTGAAATAGTTCACCCAAAATGGTAAAAAAAAAAAAAAAGGAAAAAAAAAGTTGAGTTATTGGATGAAGTATCTTTTAAAGTTTGTTCTATTTCTACCTGAAATTCAGTCGGATTGTGTTTGGGTGTAGTCCCAAACTTTTATAAATATCTTATATTTCATGTCCACTACAATTCAAAAGTCATGTAACAAATTAAACCCTTATGAGTCAGAGAATATTCCAGCAAATTAATGCACTATTCCTATGTCAACTGTTTTGAAAATCAGTCACCAAATATGGAAACCAGTTTGTAAGCTTTCATCAATATTCCTTTTTTATTATTGTCAATATCACTAAGGTTATAACTAAGGTACTGTTTTAACTGCATAGCAAATGTCCTACCTGTCAAATGGCTTTCGGTATGTGTTAAATGCATTTTAAGTTAAAGGGAAAACTACTCTGTAAGATAACGAATTATTATGAAAGCAATGCAATTTCAAATTCAAGCAGGTTCAAGCACTTTGTCTAAAATCCAAGCACTTTTCTAACCTTGAGAACACGATATTAAAAATCAAGCATTTTCCAGGATTTCCAGCACCCGTACGAACCCTAATAATACTGACCTTAAAATGGCTTTTAAAATATTAAAAACTGCTTTTATTCTAGCCGAAATAAACCAAATGTTACTTTCTCTCTAAGAAAAAATATTATCAGCCATGCTGTGAAAATTTTCTTGCTCTGCTAGACATCATTTGGAAAATATTTAAAAAATGAAATAAAATTCAAAGGAGGGGCTAATAATTCTGACCTCAACTGTACATACACAAATGCCAACTGAATGAGTGGGAGAGTGGTTTCGTACGAACTGGTCATTTTGAAAACACAAATGTTGGTGCAAGTACAAACGATCCTTCACATTTAATGGAAGTGACGTACAGGACTCTACACAGACTGATCATAAACAGGATGAACCTCCATCACGTATGAAAGGAAAACGGTCAATAACCCTGAAACTCACCCTTCACCTTCAAACGCACTGATCGGAAAACAAACAACAACATAAGGGCAACCCATTACAAACGCAGTCATGTGATCAATGCGAAATGACTTTTTAATACATAATATAAATAAATAAAATGCAAGTCACTCTCATGACAAGACTAAAGCATTCTCAGTATTGTAACTTTATTTCTCTCTTTTTCAACATACAAACTTGCCATTTCGAGATATTAAGCTGCATCTCTGAGGGAAAAGGTGATCACTGCAAGAATTGTTCTAGTTTTTTTTTTTTTTTTTGGTACGTTTATGCCACAATTATGTTTTTTTTTACCTTGAATTGGAAAAAAAAGCTGGATACAAGAACAAAACAAGACCAAACACATGACCTACACTGTAAAAAATGCTGGGCTCCACACAATTCATGCATGTTTTCCAAACACAAATCTTTTAAGGGTGCTTTCACACGTAGACTCACGGCCTCAAACTGAATATAACTCCAATCCATTATTTTTCTTTCACCAAACTTTTGCCACTTTTTCAAACGATCAACTAGAAATCAAGTTATTATTTGTTGCTCTTATACTGGGATCTTCTACTGGGTTGCTCTTATACTTACTGTTTTTTGGCCTCCTCAAATTTTTGAATGAGCTTCCTCAGTCCACTGCCTTTAAAGCCCTGATGGTGTGCAGCAGGAGCCCCTGTGGTCACTACGTCATATGTGCGATCTGTTCAGAAATTTTGTAAAAAATAAAAATAAAAAAATTATGTAAAAATCACCCCACTCTGGTGTACAATAGTAAGAAGAGTCAATAGGAAATTGATCTAGCTAGACCTGACATCATTTAAACAACAAAAGTTAGAGATGTTGATTGGACTCAAAATACATATAATTTATTAACCTATTTTTCCATTTTAACCAAGGTTATTTTAGTAAATGAAAACTAAAACTAAGATTAAAACTATAATCTAAAATTAAATTCTTATGACAATTGAAGACCTCAACCCTGACTGTCTTCTTTGGGCCCTATCATACACACGGCGCAGTGTGGCGCGAGACGCGGCGCAGTAGTCTTTTGGTAGTTTCAGCTTGGCGCAAGAGTCGTTTTGAGGCGTTGCGCTACGCTGTTTAAATACCAAATGCATTAGCGCTCATTTGTGCGCCCATAGGCGTTCTGGTCTAAAAAGGAAGGCGTTCTGAGGCGGACCGCTGGCGCGTTGCTATTTTAAGAAACTATAATAGATTTTTCATTAGACCAAAACTAACCCGGTCTAAACTCCGGCGCAGAGTTGCGCCTCGCTTACGCACTGCTTAATACACACAAGAGAACAATAGGCAAATATCTTTACATATGAAAAAAAAATTAATATTAAGGATATATGTAGGATATAATAAGAATAGATATAGGATATAAATATAAAGGATTAAAATATTACAAAACATATTATTTTCTAGCCTACATAAATATGAAAAATCACTGTTTTTATGTCTTCTCCATTTCGGGAGGCTTTTTCAGTTCATTCATAACAATTTGCTTTTGTACAATGTTATTATTATTAGCAATATTATTTATTATATCCATATTTATATTTGTTTTATTAAAAACAAGCTTAGATTTGCCCACCTGTCAGGTTTAAGACCATATGGGGCATGGCAGGTGTATTTGGAAATAACTCAGTATTTTGACCACACTTGGTCATTATTGTTCATTTATTCGTTTGCTAGAAATTAGAACTGAATTTAGAAATAGTTTTGAAACAAATCTTTGCGCTTAACAAACTAAATGAATTATTTATAGGCTAATTGATGTCTGTGCGTAATGGTTTCCCTATCCAAGAGCGAAAGTGAAAGTGAGCAGCATAAGCAGCATGCAAAATGATTGCGGCCATCAGTAAACCATTCAAAAGAGGCATTCGGTGTGATCGGCCTCTAAGGGTGTACTCACACTAGGCTATCGCAAGTGCGCATGGGAACAATACACCCTTAGAGAATGCCGAATCATTGAATTATTGTTAGGCCCACACGTAATCTGCCCCTCACAGGTTTATGAGGCCAACACTGAGTGTATTTTTACTTATGTAAATGTGTGTACAGATATGGCTACTGAGAACACGCGAGTGTTTTAAAGAGAAATCGCACACTTCCGCAGTTAAGTGCGTGAAACCACAACATGGTCTAACAAAAGAAATACATGGCCAGCAGGGGGCAGTTATGTAACATGGTGAGCATACTGAACTGAAACGGTATACTGAGCACGTGAGCTACCTGTAAACGGTGTGAAAACGGCATTCTTTAGGCAGCTCTGTGTGTGTTATCTTATACTGTATAGTTTAACTGTTTAAAATGCCGATTTTGGAGTGTCTATTTAGGCTAAGTGCAGATAGCGCACCTCGTTGGAATAAGCTAGTCGAGTGCTTCTCGCCATCGCTGTTTGATCAATAAAGACAAGAAAAGCAAAGAGCACTACTGGCAGCAGAGTGAGTAGCGTAACTCGTAAAGTACATAACAACATGATTTGAGGCCGCGAACATGTTTTTTTTTTCCCCACCTCATATCAGATTGGACATACATTTATTTTAAATAGAAAGGAAATATTTTTGTTGAAAAATGTAAATAAAGTATATACAATATATAAAATGAGATATAGAGTCAACAAGTGACTCATGGGTACTTAAAAAGGATATTAAGAATAGTAAATATTCTATAAACAGTTATTTTCCACCTGGTGTTAAATGTGAGCGACATTTTCATTTATTCATTCATTTTCTTGTCGGCTTAGTCCCTTGATTAATCCAGGGTTGCCACAGTGGAATGAACCGCCAACTTATCCAGCAAGTTTTTACACAGCGGATATCCTTCCCATCTCTGGGAAACATCCACATACACTCATTCACACACTCACAATGGACAATTTAGCCTACCCAATTCACCTGTACCGCATGTCTTTGGACTGTGGGGGAAACCGGAGCACCCGGAGGAAACCCACGCAAACGCAGGGAGAACATGCAAACTCCACACAGAAACGCCAACTGAGCCGAGGCTAGAACCAGCGACCCAGCGACCTTCTTGCTGTGAGGCGAACGTGCTACCCACTGCGCCACTGCGTCGCCTGAGCGACATTTTAATATAATTAATCTGTTTTTACAATGTTAGTCGCCCTGCTTCATCCATATTCTCTGACCTCATAGCTCTGCTTAAAGAACATTTATTAAGCGGTACCTGCCATAATAAAGGTATTTCCTTCTCTGTAAAAAAGTACATATTGCTTAGACAACTAGCTAGATAATTTAATCTATTTAAATATTTATTATTATTAATAATGATAATGATGATGATGATAAACAAAATATTAGATTTTTCTAAATAGACTATACTTTTAAGCGGCAGGGTGGCACAAAATTTAAATATATTTAGTTAGTTTAATATTAAATTCATTAATATTATTGCATCATATGCAAATGCTTATATGATGCGTGTACAATACAGTTTGTAAATTAATATTCTCTGTCTTTTAGTGAATTTATTAAATGAGATACTTGCTTTGTTTACCAAACAAATGATTCTAATAGGACTTATTTTTTTGGTTACTTTACTCTCAAAATCATTCTGCATGAATAAGAGGTCTGCATTCCCATGGCTGTCCCGCGATGATGTGTTTAGCTTGTTTGTTGCTGTGTGTGTGTGTGTGTGTGTGTGTGTGTGAATGAATGAATGAGAGAGAGAGAGCTTTGCCTGTGTGGGGGCTTGGTGCTTATGTGTGTGTGTGTGTGTGTGTGTGTGTGTGTGTGTGTGTGTGTGTGTTTTTGCGCGCGCGCCCGCGAATGAGAAAGAGAGAGAGAGAGAGAGAGAGAGAGAGAGAGAGAGAGAGAGAGAGAGCGCTTTGCCTGTGTGTGTGCTTGGTGCTTATGTGTGTGTGTGTTAGTGCACGCGCGCGCGAATAAGAGAGAGAGAGAGCTTTGTCTGTGTGTGTATGTGTTTATACAGACAGCTTGCTGTAGGCTGTCTGGACTGTATAGCTGGGTGATTTTCGGTTTTGTTCACCACCCCGCTCTTTTGCGGGATCGGGCGCGGTGGGTAGAAAACAGGGCGGGTCGGGCAGCAGGACAACAAATGCATAATATAAGCGGGAGCGCTCGGGTTCGGGGTAAAACCTGGCGGGTGCGGGCAGGAGCGGGATTCAAAATTTAGTCCCGTGCAGATCTCTAGCATGAATCTAGATTTTGTTCCAAATTCTGTGCAGAAACAGCGAAAAATTTTTCGCTGTTTTGCTCTGGCCCTGATTATTAGCAATGAGAATCATAATGACCATTATGCTGAAGTACTACTGAGGAATGTCTTTTTTGACAAGCAAATATTGACCATTGATAACTCACCATAACCAGACTCGCCCTGCACTCTCATTCTCTGAACGTGGAGATTTGTGGGCATGAACTCCAGTTTCTTCTCTCCTTTCAGAGTGCTAGATTTGAAGGACGCACCTGTCATGGAGATATCAAATAATTACAATGTTAAAGTAACTTTTATCAATAATTATTTCACCTCCTCTTTGATTATACCTACTTAACCAGGTGTCACGACACTTACCCTTGTATTCATGTAAATTACTGAGAGTCTCCTGATAGGTGAGGATGATAGTCTGGTACTGAGTGATGATCTGTCTCCTCAGATTCTCCCAGCAGGGCGACAGCTCTCCCAATTCTTCCAGCTCGCACACCCTGCACGCAGACACAAATAAGCAATAATATAATCAATCTTATTTTTTAAATATAGAAACAGAGAATCAGAAATGGATAGTTGCACGCATATAAATCAACTACAAGTTACTGCCAAATACACATAGCAGCTGAATTATTATTCCCTTTTAGTGCTTAATTCTGTTCTGTGAATAAAAAGTTTAGTAATGTATGGAGGGTCAACACTATTCAGCAACCAAATAAATTGAGAAATTCAGACGGTAATGTACAAAAATGTACATGTAAATGTCTTTACCAACTAGTTGCTAATAAGGCTGGTTTGTGTAGCAAGCTAGACTACTGAAATACTATTTAAACTTTTTTTTTTTGTATTCTTCTGAGACTTAAAAACAAAACGCATCTCCGCCTAAAGCTTTCGAGACCACCAAACTCACATTAGACCTCCAAACTATTCTGACTCGGTTGCTATATCTTTTCCGTCTGATCCGACTTCAGTTTTTCGAAAAAAAAAATGCTGTAATTCATTACGAACATGCACTGTTTTATAAACATTTTAAACTTGTAAAACTCACACTTGATTACATTTGATGATGACTGATGATCACAGAGAGTTGCTCAGCGCACATCAAGTCTTGTTGATATGATTATAAGCATTACTATGAAGACATGTTAATACAAGGCTATCAATCAATTTGGTGGGCGGGGAAACCGCACTCCTATGTCACGTTGCGATCGGCCTCAAAAATGGGAAAGATTTGGATCCTATTTTAACAAAAATATAGACTTATTGTCTTTATATCACCCCAATATGACAGTGGACACACTATACCTGCACACAGTTCTGTCCAAACAGCTTACAAAAGATGATTTTCATCATAGGTGCCCTTTAACGACTTTATTTCTTCTTCATGAATCAAGTCCAAACAACAATCCCCAAAAATGCTTATTAAAAAAAGGACATGACAACATAGGGGTGTCAAAATTAATTGTTTCTTTGGTGCACCGCGATGCAGATGCGGACAATTCGGTATGGGTTCAGTAATAATAATAACCGGTTATTATGTACTGACGTCATTTATCTCCTATGCGCTCTGTCGCGAGGGAGGTGAGCGCGAGTATTTACAACACTCAGCCAACTCAGCGCCGGCCCGTGGCATAGGCACCATCGGCAAATGCTAAAGGTGCTGTTTATCCAGGGGGGCGCCAGAAATAAGCGTGGTTCAGTTGGTTTTGTTTTCGATATTCCTGATACACATTCAGTTATAGACGGCAATAACTCAAAAACCTCTTACCCTAAAAAGATCTAAAGTGTGTTTCCTAAAAAAAGACAAAGCTGGTTATGTTTCACAGCTGTCTTTCTTTTTTTTGCTCGGAGCACTGCTCGGTTTAAGCCCTTGCAATATGTGTTTAGCCGGGAGAGCTCGCGCTGAGAGGAGCTCTCAGTAAGGGACCGTCAGAAAAGTGCTTTTTTTTGTTTCTTTTTTCGTTTTTCAGCTCCGCTCAGCGCAAGCTCTCCCTGTTGCGAGGTCTTAAGCCTGATTTTATACTTCTGCGTCAAGTGACCGGCGTAACCCACGGCGCATGCAACGCTCGTGGCTGTGCATTTATACTTCTGCGCGCTGTCTTTGTTGGTCTGAATAACACTTCCGAAACGCTAGTTGGCAGTGAGGTGTAAATGTTCCTCTGTGTCGAGTTTCTTCGCTGCTTTTTTGCTTTTCCTGAACACTTCCGGGATGTACAAGTGGCTCAAACTCGCTCATTTACCGGCGGACGTGCAACAACTTGAACTATGAGGTAAACACAAAACAAAACTTTCCATCCGGAACTCCTTCACGGGACTCCACACTTGTAAACAATCGCTCGCGCCATTCGCGCGGCTCTCGGTCCCGCCCAGACTCGACAGCGCCACCAAGCCGACCAATCACAGAGCTTACGCTACGCGTTGTTGCGACGTGTAGTTACATTTTTTGAGAGGTGCACGTCAGCGGCGACGGCCACGGCGAAGGGCTATGCGTCAGTGCCGTAGCATACGCCGGCGTTTGACGCAGAAGTATAAATCAGGCTTCAGGTGTGTGTGTGTGTGTGTGTGTGTGTGTGTTTGTTTGTTTGTTTGTTTGTTTGTTTTTTTGTTTGGTGCTGTCTATGTTTGTGTATGTGTTTGAATGAGAGACAGTGTGGTGCTGTGTGTCTGTGTGTTTATACAGAGAGCTTGTTATAGCCTCCCCCCTAAAATATAACACTGTATATGGAAAGCATCGTCAATGCACTGTGATGCACCGAGATATCGAATTAAACCGAATCGAAGGCATGATAATCGTAACCGAACCGTGAGACCAGTACAGGTTCACACCTCTATGACAACACTTCAAAAGCGAGCTCTGTGAAACTTAATCAAAACTTGATGATTTTTTTGATGGCTGTTTGCCATCGACTTGTAACTTCAAAATTAATTTGGTCAACTAGAAATGCAAAAGACACTATGTGATCTTCAGGTTACTATCACAGTTATTTCAAGAGTGAGTAGTGCTGTGTACACATCCAGATGATGACCTAGGGGATTTATTTTTATATTTATAAGCTGTTGTTCACTGCTGAAGCTTCTCAGTGTGTATGTAGCCTAAAAGTACGGAATAAAATGTTTCATTTACCTGGCAGCATCTTCTTCCAGCAGTAGTTTGACGAACTGTCTTGGTATGTGTAGAGAGAGCACACTCTCTGCCATCTGCTCCAGGACACGCAGGTGGTTCCCATCAGTCGTGGGCAATCGGTACATCCGTGAAACAGTGCCTCCAAACACTGCATCAATCAATAAGTCAATCAATTGATAAGTCAATACATCAATCAATCAATAGATCAGAATCACACATATTATAAGCAGTGTTGGGAGTAATGAGTTACAAATGTAATGTATTACAGTAATATATAACTTTTTCCTCTAACGCAGTAGTGTAAGGCATTACTAATGCTGCGTTCACACCAGACGCGGAACCCGCGAACAAATTGCGCTATTCGCGCGTAAATAGCCGCATGAACATTTGCGTTTGCTCGCTTCATTCGCACGTCAAACCCTGCTTCATTCGCGTGTCAAATCCGATTCGTTCGCGCGTCAAATTTACTTCAGAACAGACACGGATTCGCGTGATGGGCAGGGCTTCTGTCTGCCCGGTGACTCTAACTTTATAGCTAAATGGCTTAATTGATTTAATTGATAAAATAACTGTTTGTGTGCTTTATGAAGGCTGAAAAACAGCGTCGATACGTTAAGGGCCGTGTCTGAGTCCACTAGATCATTTCAGAGGAGCATTCAGCTCGGTGAGCTCATAAACTCCCCCAGAAAGTGAACCTGGTTGATGGAGGCTTTCAGTGGTGCTTCTGACTGAGCCAAGCCCAGTTTGACGAACTTTTTGTCGGTGTCGGCTAGAGGATTTCCTCCGGGACTTCAACAACAGGTGTCACAATCACGCCCCCACAAGAGCAAGCTACTGGTTAGTTAACGTGGCGCGAATGTCCTCTGAAGTTCAGACTTTCAAACTCAAGCAATTCAAGCGAAACACGCATCAAACGAGCAAAACGCTCAATTCGCGCCACGCCATTCATGCGTATCGTGGCATTCACACTGCGCTATTTGCACAATTCGCGTCATTCGCGCGTATCTCGCCACAGGATGTCTTTTCACGCGTTTGCATTGACTTAACATGTAAATCACTCGCGCTTGACGCGCCTTCCACCTCTGGTGTGAACGCAGCATAACACATTTTCAGTAATATTTTACTCAATAAATGTTTAGTAACCCTTGCGTTACAACAAACTTTCCGCTCGTAAGACATTAACAAATAAAAAAGATGGACATATGCTGTTATTTCACTGACAAATGTGCCACAGCCATATCACCCTGCAGCCCAAGACTGGATACTCACTGAAGCTAAGCAGGGCTGAGCCTTGTCAGTACCTATATGGGAGACCACATGGGAAAACTAGGTTGTTGTTAGAAGTGGTCTTAGGGAGTGGTCTGTGTGAGTCCTAATGCCCCGGTAAAAGTGAAGGGGACGCTATACTGTCAGTGGGCGCCATCTTTCGGATAAGACGCTAAACTGAGGTCCTGACTCTCTGTGGTCATTAAAAATTCCATGGCACTTCTAAGGAGTACGGGTGTAACTCCCGTGTCCTAGCCAAAGTCCCTCAATTGGCCAAAAAGATTTTTTTTTTTCTACGCAGTTAGGTAATGTTTAGCCTATATGTTCATATCTATAGGTTGAGGGGTTGGTTTTCTAATTGCACTTCATATTGAGAAAGCTATGTTCATCATGCTCACTTTGTGCATGACAGTTTGTGTTGTGAACTACTTGAATTAAAAGTGAATAAAATAATGGCAAAAAAAAGACATTTTGTTAAAATAACAAAAAGAAAAGGGAAAAAAATCTGCATCTTGTCAGACTGCAACAGTCTGACAACCATAGAAATGTTTCATAGTCATTTATTAATTTGTATTATTTCTATATACAAGATTAACCTCACCTAATGAGATGGGTGGAGACAACGTTTAGGACACAGCAATCCTTGGTTTAATTTGAAGACTGCCACTCGGTGATCTTCCTCCACGTTTAGTCATGTACATGAGTGCCAGAAGGTGTCGGAAAAGTTTAACAGGATCCCGTACAATTAATCTAACGTAATCACCCCAGGGGTCACAATCCAATAATTTCATTCTTTTTTTTTTTGTTTATAAATCAAAAGGCTGATGGCTTTTTATTTGCTTGTTTTTATTTTTATTTTATTTTTAGTTTGACTATTAGCTACTATATTTATCTCTTTGTCGGTTAGGGATAAAATATGTAATAGTTGAATAACATTTTAAATAATATCTCCTTGCGACCTCTTCAGGGGATCCACTTTGGGAACCACTGCTGTACCAAAGAGCTTAGAATGACTAAGAGGCGACACTCAATAGAATGTTCCATTGCAACAGCAGCAGCCCTGGATTCCGCCATTTTGGAGTGAAATCGATCGGCTGTCCATTGGATCTTATTGCTGTCGCGATGGCTAGCAGCTGCTTTGTTTTTTATTTATTTATTTAAAAAGCGTATTAAAGCTGATAAAACCTGAAAGACGACAATAAAACACTTACATTGACAATCATCAGCACTTCTATTAGTGTGCTTTACAGACTTATAATATGCTGTTGTTCTGTGTGAGTTTTCATTTCAAAATGGCCGCTGCGCCATCTAGTGGCTGTTTCCCAAATTGCACTAGAGTGTCGTCTCTTGGTGATTCTATGCTCTTTGACTGTACTGAACCTTACTGTTAGCACAGCAACCGTTTAATGGAAACAAGCTAGTATAGTGGTCTGCAGAAACAGCTGCAAATGAGGCACCAAACAGAACTAAAGCCTGAATAAACGTCTTCTACTGCCGCAAAGCACTTTTTTTTAAAGGAATTGCTAACAGAATTGCAGAATGTATAATCTATTCCCACAGAATAGCGAATGCTCTATAAATACAAGTTGTTGTGTTTTTAATGGGTTCAGGAGCAGCTTTCAGAACCCCTTTCACAGCCTGCGGCGTTCATGAATCTTCACAGCGGGAAGTGAAAACTACAGCCCATTGATTCAGTTATGAGGGACACATTTACAGATAAACTGCTGCCTCCAGATGGAATGTAGCTGCAATGATTAAGAAATTAAAACCAAATTGTGCTGCAGAGTATAGAAATATGAACTTTACACACTCACCTGCCTTTAAAAGACTGTCTTTGCATAAGGAAGCAGATTTAGCCTTTACGCCCATGGATTCTGTCAGACTTTCATCAACAGGCAACACCATCTGTGAGAAACAGCAGAAGGATCATGTAGTGATTATATCGATGTTGTTCTATGAGGCCCCTACTGAAAAAAACAGCATAAACCAGCCTGGGCTGGTAGGCTGGTTTTAGCTGGTCAACCAGGCTAGTTTTAGAGGGGTTTTGGCCATTTCCAGGCTGGTTTCCAGCCATTTCCAGCCTGGTCTTAGCTGGTCAGGCTGGGAGATGGCCAGCTAAAACCAGCTTGACCAGCCTAGCCAGGCTGGGTGCCCAGCCAAAACCAGCTTTGTCCAGCTTAAACCGTGCTGGTCAAGCTGATTTTAGTTGGATTTAGCAGTTCATTTTCCAGCCTGACCAGCTTAGACCAGGCTGGAAATGGCTGAAAACCAGCCTGGAAATGGCCAAAACCCCTCTAAAACCAGCCTGGTCGACCAGCTAAAACAAGCCAACCAGCCTAGGCTGGTTTAAGCTGGATTTTTCAGCAGGGGCAACAAAGATTTAAGAATACACAGCAGTACAGAAATAAAGACACTTTTAAATAAGCTTGCTAATCACAGTGTCACTTCAGTCATATTTATTTATAGTACGATTATAGTATTATTTTAGTTTTGAAGCATTTGGCAAGCAGATTCATCAGTATTATTATATATTATTCTATATACAATCTACATGCATAGACACTAACTGGCCACTTTACTAGGTACGCCTGTCCAACTGCTCGTTAACGCTAATTTCTAATCAGCCAATCACATGGCAGCAACTCAATACATTTAGGAAATGTAAACATGGTCAAGACCATCTCCTGCAGTTCAAATCGAGCATCAGAATCGGGAAGAAAGGTGATTTTAGTGACTTTGAACGTGGCATGGTTGTTGGTGCCAGACGGGCTGGTCTGAGTATTTCAGAAACTGCTGATCTACTGGGATTTTCATCCACAACCATCTCTAGGGTTTACAGAGAATGGTCAGAAAGGCAAAAGTTATTCAAATAACCACTCATTACAACCGAGGTCTGCGGAGGAGCAGCTGTGATCACACAACACGTCCAACCTTGAGGCAGATGGGTTACAGCAGCAGAAGACCACACTGGGTGGCCCAGAATGGGGAGTGGCCAGATATGTTTTTCTACATATATAATAGGATTTTTTATTGTACTTATTTAGTTTGTTATATTTTAGTTTTATTAAGTTAAAAAAATAGCACTGGCTTTGGCTGAAAATTAACATTAAAAATTATTTTAGATTTTGTTTACAGTTTTAAAATTGTTTTCATTTTAAGTTATAGATAAAATGTTGGTCATTTATGCTTTTGTCTATTTATTTTTCAACTATTCATTAATTCATTCATTTTCCTTTCGGCTTAGTCCCTTTATTAATCTGGGGTCACCACAGAGGAATGAACCGCAAACTTATATTTTACGCAGCGGATGCCCTTCCAGCTGCAACCCATCTCTGGGAAACATCCATACACACTAATTCACTACGGACAATTTATCCTACCCAATTCACCCGTATTGCATGTCTTTGGACTGTGGGGGAAACCAAAGCACCCGGAGGAAAAGTACACGAACATAAGGAGAACATGCAAACTCCACACAAAAACACCAATTGACCCAGCCAAGGCTCGAACCAGCGACCTTCTTGCTGTGAGGTGACAGCAATTTATGTTTATTTATTTAAGGTTTATTTAAAACCTTCTGTTTGTCTTTTTTAGGTCGTTTAGCAATTCAACATTTTTATTTAAATTGGATGCCAAGTCAACAATAATCAAGTTTTTTATTACTTTAAAGCTATTAAAATTTCTAAAGATTTCTGATGGACATTTTCTTAAATATAAAGTTTAATACGATTTTAACTTGAAACATTTTTTCATTTTAATTTTTTTCCAATAATGGAAAAATCTTTGCTGTCACTGCATATGATTTCCTGTTATCTAATCTTCCATCAGCCCCCTTTCTCTCTAAATAGCAGCAGACACATGCCAAACAGCAACAAACATCTAAAATACAGTGTAAATCCCAGAGCGTGTCAGCTCTCACCCTGCCGTTAACCGTATCTGATCGTGCCAGAGGAGCTCGCTGGTCTCTCCTCTCCTCAATCTGCCACCCAATGATAGTGATGTTTCCCATCCGCTCACTCTCTGCTGATCTGAACCACAGAAAAAAAAAACAGAAAACAAATAGGTGTCAGACCACGTTTCCTGGAAATACTGACAAATGTTATGCTAATATTAGTTCCTATATTGATCTGACATACTTCAGCATGAGGTGTAGCCTGTGGTGTTTGTCTTGAAGGAGCTCTTTTACTGTAAACATAGCCGAACCCAGCAGGTACATCTAATAAGACAGAGGCGAGCTTATGAAGCGGAGGCAAACAGGTCAGGCATGTTTATGGAACGGTCTCCTTTTTTAACTCACCTTGAGTTAAACTGTTTGAATTCATTCAGCCATTCTCTGGGTCTGATGGGAGCACTTTTAGCTTAGCTTAGCATAGGTCATTAAAACGGATTAGACCATTAACATCTCCCTCAAAAAGCTTTGTAATAAGTGTCTTATTTAAAGCTTGACTCTTCTGTAGTTATATTGTATACTAAAACTGACAGAAAAAAAAAATTCTATGTCAAAATGGCTAGAAAGGGTACTCTCATTCCAACATAATTTTAATGAGATGCTAATGGTCTAATCTGAATTAAAATAGATAAAAACAAATAAAAAAACTCAACTGTTTAACTCTAGGAGACTTGTAAAACGAGCCTATTTCCAAAACAAAACAAGGAATGTTTCTTTAAGAATAACAGTTTGTGTCTTACAGTCCCTTGTGAGCGATCCTTCACATCGTACACCGACAGTTTGATTTGGGTCTGCTGGGTAATCAGAGAGTCCTGGAAGAAGGCGATGCTGCTCAGGAAGATTGGATTGCTGGTGCCCTGTGATAAATAGACAAACAAAACATGATACTTCCAGGTTTCACTGAGCAAACTCACTTCTTGGATGAAAATAGCAGTCAGTGTTATTCCAAACGGAGCCATAATAAGCAGTCTGGTGCAGATGAGGGTGTTTTAAGTCTGAAATTCAGCGTATTGTTATTATTTTTTAAATACAGTGCTGTGCATGTATGAGCACACCCCACAAATCTCAATTAATATTTTCTATAGGATGCTCCACAATGTTATACTTGTGCATATACATTAGATTACTCAGTATTGAAGCTAAATCTGAAGCTAATCTACCAAAATAACTTACAACAATTATTCAAAAATTAGTAGCTCAAATTAATATGTTAGGGAAAACATCAAATAAAATTTTCAAAAAGAGGAAGAAAATCAAAAGAAACAAAGAATATTAACAAATTTGTTGAAATGTTGTAGTTTGTATTTGTTTTTGCAATATTTTGAATGAATTTAAATGCATTATTTTTCCATTTCTAATAATAATAATAAAATAATAATAATATTAATAATAAATAATAATAATAATAATAAATAATAATAATAATATACTACTACTACTAATAATAATAATAATACATATTAATAATAAAAATTAAAAAAAATAATAATAACAATAATAATAATAAAAAAATAATAATAATAATAATAATGATGATGATGATGATGATAATAATAATAATAATAATAATAATAATAATAATAATAATAATTTATCAAATTTATATAGCGCTTTTCTGGGCACTCAAAGTGCTTTACACAATGGGGGGAATCTCCTCATCCACCACCAGTGTGCAGCATCCACCTGTATTACGCCAGACCACACACCAGCTAACTGGTGGAGAGGAGACAGAGTGATGACGCCAATTATGATATGGGGAGGGTTAGGAGGCCATGATGGACAAAGGCCAAGAGGGCAAAGTCCAGGATGCTGGGGTTAAACCCCTACTCTTTTCGAAGGACATCCTGGGATTTTTACCGACCACAGAGAGTCGGTTTAACGTCTCATCTGAAAGACGGCGCTCACTGAGCAGTATATAGTTCCCATCAATATACTGGGGCGTTAGGACCCACACAGAACGCAGGTTGATCAACGTCTGCTGGCCTCACTAACACCACTTCCGGCAGCAACATAGCTTTCCCATGTGGTCTCCCATCCAAGTACTGACCAGGCGCAGCCCTGCTTAGCTTCAGTGGGCGACCATGTGAGAGTTGCAGAGAGCTAGCTGGCAGAGAGTCCTGGATGGTGGTAATGATGCTCAGGAAGATTGGATTGTTGATGTAATCATCATGGTACATGCTCAGAAGCAAGGTAATATCATTGTACATTTTATAGCAAGTCTTCATGTTTCCCTCCTCACCTCTATGATCTCCGTCTGTGCATGTTTGGTCCAGAATGCCTGTGGAGGAGTGGTGCAGCTCACAGCGACAAAACTACTGGGCTTACGATCCAGCGATGGGGTGACCAGCTCACTGCATGCTGTGGGAAGAAGGAGAACAATTCAGTAAGTCAAATGATTATGAGATGAGTGATTTAGCTGTGATTGTACTCCTATGACAAGTCAAATCCACCGTATAAACAAATAACTGTAGGTGGCGAACTGTAATCAACATGACGTTTCGTCATGGAAAAAGTAATATAACTGTCAGAGAGCACCTGACAAAACCCAGCGCACACAGTACTATGAACATATCTGATTTGACGGCACACAGATAAGCTGCATAAATGTTTACTGCTTATGAGGTAAAAGGGTATGGCTGATGAACTGTTTATTTCCCTCACAAATACAGTAGGCTGTGCACTGCTAGTGTATGAAGCCAAAAAAGGTGGAAGAACATGAGAGGATGGACTCGAGAGGTAAACATTTCGTGAATGAGTGGACACCAGCTTTGGTGGCATTATATTACTGACAGGAGCTTCAGTGTGATCGCTTTATGATTGACTGAAGTGCTGTTACTCACCCAGACTGAACTCGAGCACTGGCTCATCAGGATCCTGGCTGTTTCCTGAACACAACGTAAACACATAAAATTAAGCTCAATAAGAAAGCCTTTTACTAGATTATAAGCTAATTATGTTGTGGTATAGACACACTTTATTTTAATGTACAATTTGTACTATTAACAAACTATTAACTAAAGTTTTAGCTCAAACTACCAATTAGCTGCATATAAATAGTTAGTAAGGTAGTAGTTGGGTTAACGTCCAATTCACACAGGGCTTCAGCGTCAACGCTTGACTGAAAGCGTGTCTGAAGTTGGGGCTGAAGCGATCGTCATAGAAGCGTCAGCCAATGAAATTCAGTCAGCAATAGGCCACTGTCTAGCTGGTGTATTTGCATACTCTGGCTGTTTCTCAATTCCAAGAACGCAGAGGCCGGGCGGAATGTGTAAAAAAGTCGTTATCATATTTAAGTCTAAAAAAAAGGCTTGTTCCAAAGAGCCGACCCCGCAACCATACGGGACTAAGGCCAAAGAGGAAGAAGAGAGCTGTTCAGAAACGCTGGGTGAAACGCTAGTGTGGACGTGGATTGTTTTGATTCTAAAACGCTGTTTTAAAACTAAAACGTACTAGTGTAAACGGGGCCTAAAATCACAATCAGAAGCAACTGCATGCTTCAATGGGGTTACAGTATATACAGCTGTCATATATAAAAACTCCATGTCACAATGTTTTTTAGCAAAATTCAAGATTTTATCACGATTCTTTGTGATTTTGCTTTTACAAGTTGTCCGAGCAGTACAGCCAAACACATTTCATTAGTTTAAAACAAACCATTACAAGGCAACAAAATATATAAAAAAAAGACAGTATATTGAGGCAGAGGTGCCAGAATTGCACCAAATACAATGAGCACTGTAGCAAAATACACCAACATTTCAAAAGCAGACGGTAAAGATATTTTAATGAGCCACAATCAAGAAATGTCATATCACACACCCCTACGTGTCTGCTTAAACATGTTTCATTCAGTCAATTCCAAAGTTCAAATGGTTTAAATGGAATTCACGTTAACATTTTTTTTGTGATGAGGACATACAGTGTGCATTATTAGTGTTAAACTGGTCAGCAAGGTAGACCAGGTACACATTATCTAGTTCACTAGAGTTAAACCAGTCAGAAAAGTAGCCAAGGCACACATAGTCTAGTACACTAGTGCTAAGCCATTCAGCAAGGTATTTTTTATTTGCAAAATTTAACCGTAAAAAATCAAAGGCAAAAAAAGTATGCGCCAATAGTGTAGTGGTTGGTGCGTCAACACATTCACACAGGTGCTTACGGCAACTCGAATTCAATTCCCGCCTCACAGTCCTATGCCGATCCTTCCACTCTCTCTGCTCCCCATGCTCTCGTGTCAATACTCTATACTGTTCTCTCCATTAAAGGTGAAAACCCCGAAAAATAATTATGATAACTAAATCAGAAGTAAATTATTCCTCACCTGTGAGTGCCAACCCCATCATCTCAGAAGACAAATCAAATGTGTTAGCTCTGTACACAGACCAGGGCCTGTGGCGGGGACTGCGCTCTCTTCCCGCCATCTTGGCTCCAGTCACCAATAGGATTAGCTCTTACAATCCCACTTTGTGTTAAAGGTTTTTCCAGTAATCCAGGTTCTGTTTCAGTCTAAAAGTTCTGAATCTAAAAGGAGAAAGAAAAGGGGACAAAAGAAGATGAGTCAGTATTTGCGTCACCAACTGTCTGGAGAGTCAAGAATCTGTAGATCCTGAGGCTGTTAACCTGAGACAACCAAACAGTAAGACCTGTGTTTGATCTCAAGATGTTGTAGGCATGCATGCAAGTGCATTATTTATGCGGTTTCATAGGAGGGCATTTATAATTGAACACACGCAATGACAAAACCGCAATCAGAGAGAGTAAGTGCCAGAGAATTGTCTTATGTTTATAGCTGGATAATTTATGACTGAAAGGAAATGGTTCACAAGCAGGATGTTGTTGGAATATGCTAAAGAGGATTTCCAATGACGTTAAAACCTTAGACCAGGGGTCACCAAACTTGTTCCTGGAGGGCCGGTGTCTTGCAGATTTTAACTCCAACCCTTATCAAACACACCTGAACAAGCTAATCAAGGTCTTCCTAGGTATACTTGAAACAACCAAGCAGGTGTGTTAAGGCTAGTTGGAGCTAAACCCTGAAGGGACACCGGCCCTCCGGGACCGAGATTGGTGACCCCTGCCTTAGACATTTAGTTTACACAATTCTGGACACAATCATTTGATAAATGAAGGCATATGAGCTGTGAACAAAATTAATAACAAATACCTCAAATAAGAACGATACATTACTGTATTTTTTTATATTTGTTAACACTAGTTAATGGAAATAAAGTTGCTCAGTGTTAGTTCATGTTTACTTTGTGCATTACCTAATGTTATTACACAGCTGTCTGGAATAATTGATGCTGATTGGTCAGTGGTGACATTCGAAGGTATGTTATTCCGAGATAACAACCACTAAGGCCCATACAGGTTCTTTGAATCTCCGTGACTGTCAGTGAACACGTTCAAATGCGTATATTTACATCCACATCCTCCATTAACTGTTTTTGTTTCTATCAGCTTTGCGGTAAATAAAGAACCATTCAACTATTACAGCTCAGAACAATGTTTTGTGGCAAGTAGCTATGTAATAAGCAGGATAAAGTATAACTAGGACAGTTGTTTTTAGGGAATTAAGTCCTTCAGTGTTATACAATGTCTTTAATTTGTGAATAATTTGTGAATAAAGCACCATTTCCATCCATTGAGTCAAACTTGTCAATTAACTGTCAAACTAAAAATGGAAAGGATAAAACTGAATAAAAAAAGAATGGACTTTCCTGCAGTAGGAGAAGGCACCTTGGACACTTTCTTTTACAATAAACTATTTGTTTAACTATTAAGAGAACGATAACAAAATGCAATAAATGTACAGTGTTTCCTCTAGGATTATTTCCAGCTGTGACGGCAGGCCTTATTTACACATATCTACCAACCTGTGGCGTTATTATTTCAATAGCAAATGTCGTGAGCGCAGTATTATAAGTGGAGATTGCATTTATGTAATAGCCTACGAGCATGCGGATTCCTCTGCTCGTGCACAAAACTTCTTGCAGGCCCCCTCAAATATAAGCTACTTCAAGTGCGCGCAGATCTTCTTGTGCGCTATCAAATAAACACTGTTGAAGTGCGATGTAGTGCGTTTATGTAACGTGTTTCCAGCATTTATTAGATTTGCTAGGAATATTTATGAATTTCTTCATTAGACCTGCAGAGCAGCATTAATGCACCCTAAAGTAAAGTGAAACGGCTATACGTCATATTTGCTGCCTCACGCATCACGCACCAGTCAGTCAGCACGTCACATTAAAGGGTTAAACAAATGACGCACATGACTACCACAGTTGCAGAAAAGTTCACACTGTTATAATTAACTTCCCCTTCAATACGTTTTGGTGTGATTATCACCTATTAAAAAAAATGTTTTGAACGAGAAGCTGTAATGTAGCCATGGCGGGATGAATTTTGTCGTGGCGCCCCGCCATGGAAGAATGAATGTAGCGGAAACCATGATGTATGGTGGGTTTTGAAGGAGCGAGATCGTTCTTTGGGAGCGTAGATGCTCATGACAGGTCTTTAATGACTGACTTTAGATAAGGGATTTTCGAATGAACAAAACATTTTAGATGTTTTACAATGTGGTCGATCCATCGATTTGTCCATTAATGTCATCCCATCACACATTCACACACGTTTTGTTTCATTTTTGATGAGTTAAAACAAAAACACAAGATTTGTTGATGCCCATGCTAAAATATATTTGTTAAATATGTTTTCATCATAGTTTATGCAATTTTTTTTAACGGTGTAAAAAGTTTATCCTACTTAGTAGTGCGTATTAGGCTTGGACGATATCCGAATTTTGATACAGTCAAACCTTCTCCCTATTGTACCTCGGTATACAGTATTACCGTGAATAATAAATAATTATGACTTAAGACTACATAATTGTTGTGCATGTTATTTTGTTGAGCAAAATAACATGCACAACAATATTAACAACTTTTATTAGCAACAATTTATTAGCAACTTTAGGTTCGAGGTATTTCCATCTCTCACGGTCACCATTTTGTTGCACAATTTGAAAATTGCCTCGTCTGTATTTACCGCCTCTCCTTTCTCATTTAGTTGAAACCTGAAATACTGCCAAACTGCAGAAGTTGTGTTTTTTCGAGACCAGGGGCCTGTTTCAGTAAGGAGGTTTAAATAACTCAGAGTTTAAACTTGAAACTATAAAACCTGCTCCTGACCAGGTTAGGTTCACAGAGTAAGTTACCACAGTAACTGACTCCGAGTTAAAGTTACCTCTCTTTTAGAAACAGGTTTGACTTACCCTGCTTTCTCGAGTTTGACAAACCTGCCATTTTGAAACGGAAAACCCAGAGTTTCTCTCATTTCAGGGTTAAAATACTCTGAGTTTTCACTTAACCTCCTTTCTGAAACAGGCCCCAGGTCACATGTGGCCCGTTTCCACTGAGTGGTACGGTACGGTACAGTTTGGTACGCTTTTATGGTCGTTTCCACTGTCAAAAAGCGTACCGAACTGAACCGTACCACTTTTTTAAACTTTTTCGAAAGGTTACAAAACATGAGCAAGGGTACCAAAAGGTGGAGCTACACGTGCAGCTGAAAGCTGATTAGTTAAAAAGATACGTCACAAGCTTGACGTGATGATAACCACACATACACATTTTTAGCCATTAAATAAATTCTATTTAATATTTAACCCTGGTCTCTAAATAGATGCATTGTTAACAGTGCTGAAACTGATAACGTTGCTTTTTTAAGATTTCGCAAAATACCATATTACCGTATTACTGCCCAAGCCTAGGGCATACGTATACATTTTTTAAAGCTCATTTTCAACATTTCTTCTTGGAATTGCATCATGCCAACTCCATTAAAAGATTTGGTAACACTATGTTAATGGTCCATTTGAGTATTAGTAGACTGTATGCTTAATATCTGTTAATACTGCTCCTTTAACAGACATTTAACTGACTATAAGAAACTTTGCAAGTACATGTCAACTTACACTAACCCTCACCCTAACCCTAACAGTCCACTTATAATATAATGAGAACTAGTTGACATGTAGATGCAATGTAACTTAAATTCAACAAACGGACCATCAATATAAAGTGTACCAAAGATTTTCAATGCTTCAGTTTGTGATCTAATAGCACAGAGTATTACAAAAGTCTGTAGTAGCCGTAGTACAACGCAATCCTGACATAGAGAGCAGAAGGCTGAATGAGAATGCAAATACGCTGCATCAGTGGCGGATGGAGGGTTTTTGGCTGCGGCGAAGGCAAAGCAGCAGGTAGTGGGCAGCAGTCTGGGGCTGAACGGCTAATTCTGACTCAAGCTCTATCATTTACAAAACCAACAACCCTATCCATCTGCCTCTTATAGTCCGGCACATATCACTAGATACAGATCACAACACGTTTATCATAATGTGTTAAGTGAAATCAAAGACAGAAATGGTCATCATCAGAATCGTCATCATATTGCCTGCAGTTAAAGAGCTCCATAATCCATCTCAAGAGATATTGTAATTACCGCACTCTTATTAGCCTTGACATTTCACGGATATTAAACACCAGTCACTGCACCGGTTCATAATTCTCGAGGATTTTTCACAGGCCTCATTCAGGCTTCATGCATATTTAGGTTGTCTAGAATGCAATTATGGGAAACGCACCAATTTGATACGCATTCCCTCAGATGAAAGTTACTTCGGTAAGAAGTTTGTTGATGTCAATTAAAAGTTGTCTCTCATAAAATATATTTCTAACATTCTCAAAAATAGGTCAAAAGCCGATAGATCCAGATCCCCGTATAGCAGTTCTAGGCATTACTGATTTCGAGATAGCTAAAAACAGTACTGAACAAAATATAGTTCCATTTGTCTGTCTACTAGCACGAAGATTAATATTATTACACTGGAAATTGAAAGCCGCTCCTACATATACACATCTTATGAGAGATGTAATGAAACATATGGAACTAGAGAAAATCAGATTCTCCCTAAAAAAGAAAGAAGACAAATTCTATAAAATCTGGCAACCTTTCATGGCTTACTTTAAAGACAAAAATTCGACAGGAAATAGTCAAATTGAAGCGGATTAGACCAATTAAGTTTAAAAACAGAAGAGTATTATTATTTTAACTTTTCTTTACTCTTATTTATTATTTAATATTGTGTTTATTATTTGTTTCCTTTTTGTAATTTCAATTCAAATTTATTTATTTTTATTATTAATTTTTTTGTATTATTATTATTTTTTTGTATTAATCTATCATTACTATATTTATATATGGATTGTTTGTATATTACATGCTTTATTGTCAATTGTGGTGTGAATGTTTGCTAGTCCAAAGATGTAAGTTGTTGTGTTATAAAATCAAAAAAACAATAAAGAAAGTTATAAAAAAAATTTAAAAGTTGTCTCTCAGCCTGAAGATGAATCATTCAAGCATTACAACACGTCAAACAATTTTTACATTTCTTTTGGTTAGATGTTTTGACAGGTAATGTTAAAAGGTTATGACTAGGCCCACCAAGGTTACAATAG